AAATCACCTCATCATGAGGGTTTCTTCCAATTAGACGATCCTTTTTGTATGAGTCATACTTTGGTGTGAATTTGCTTCACCTATGCGTCGTGGACGTCCCCTTTCTTATTTTTTTCCTCCCCTTTTGGAATACTTAGTTGGTAGAAGAGGTATACACTTATTAGAGCAATCGTAATTGAGAAAAAAAAAAATGGAACAAAATAAGTAAAAAAAATTACCCTTTTCAAAGAACTACACCACGCATTTGTGTATACCCTTTAACGAGGTAGTCCCTCCGATGGGGATGAACTTTCGAATAACAGGATTTTTTCGTGTTCCCCTTTTTTTTGGGGGTCCAAAGTAGCTGTTACTCCAAATATTGAGTGCAGCAAAAATGCGTGGCGACCCAGATGACGGGTATCTTTGTGCGCTCATTTATTTTGTAATTATGGTCGCCTTTCATTCCTCACCTTCGATTTGGATTGTGCTCAAAGGGCGTTTGAGCCGGGTGCACATTGTTTAATTTTAAGCCACACTCTTTTTTTTTCTGTTTTTTCCACACCTTTTTGTGTCTTTTTATGGTCCTATTCTTTACACCAAATGACGGTCTCTTAGTGCGCCCTGAAAAGACAGGAAGAGGGAAGTGACATTATTTGTTTGTAAATATTTCAAAGAGCACTTTTCGGCTTACCTTCCTATTTTCCCCTTCCTGCGCTTGTGCACACGCGTTCGTGAGATAGCCAATATTTAGGAGAAGGCTTATTCTGTGCATGGTCACATGCCTGCGCATATATATATACATATATTTACATGCGTGCTCACGAGAAAGACTTGACCCCTTTTTCCTTCTTTCTCTGCCCATATGTGTACCATTCTACAGTCTACATGAGCTCTAGGGTTCCTACTTCATTGTTGCTTCTTCCTATTTCGTGAAGTTAAGCATTATAAAAATGACAGGGCGGAATAGCTATGTAAAATGTTCCTTCGCCTGTTGTGCATTATTCATTTATTAATTTTTTTTTTTCTTTTTTTTTTTGACAGTGTTTTATTTTGTGAATGTAGATATATACAAGAATGTTCATATATACAAATATGCATGTTTTTTTTTTTTTTTTTTGCTTCATACATTTTGTTCATTAGCTTTTTTATTTTTCCCATTTGCACTACCGCTGGAGTATTGCTATTTTCCCTTCTGAGAAGTCCTAGGCATGAGCTTTCCTTTCATGTCATCAAAAGGAACTACGATGTATGAAATCAAAGGAGAGACGAATAAGAATGCATTGCCACGTATATAGTGATTAATCTATCCATGTTTATATCTTTTTTCTTTTTTTTCTTTTGGGAAATTTATTATCCCCACATGAAAGTGAACAATAACAAAAGTGTCTCTTTTCCCTTCCTCCCTTTTTAGTTATAACTTCACCAGTGTAAATATTGAGGTGTTCACATCTTACACATGACACGTGCGTGTATTTTTCGTTGGCAGCTTGTCAGCATTATTTTTTCTATGTGTATTTGCTACTTCAATGGGACCTCTGCATCCCCCTACACGTATGTATATGTATGTCCATAATTATGGACGTGTGTGTTGGCCCATTATCTTCACATCCGTAGTATGTGTATATAAGCATTGGCGTTCCCGCATAGGAGTGTCCATTTGGGCATATTATCGTGGTGTCTGGAGAGGTTTCTTCTTTGCACAATCGTATAAATGATGCGAATGGATCTGGCTCGAAATTTCTGCCATCTCAAATGTGGCGCTAGCAAATGTGTACAACATTGGGGAAGGAAGGGGGGGTGGAGGCAGGTTACATAACAATGCTTAAATAAATGGCCCCACCCATTTTTGCATCCCATTATGACAAGTTTAGTGGGACAGTTTACGCATATTACTTCACATGTCTGCCCTTTTTTTTTTTTTTTTAAATTTTAAAATCTGTGTTGTTGCTACGAGGTGCACTTGTGTGACTACTCGTCCACGTAATGGGACACAATTTCGAAGATCCTTACTACAAAATATGAACCCTGGGAAGGAGGAGCCATATGTACGTCCGAAGAGGGCCAAGTAGGAAATTTAACCCTCTCATCTGGGATAACCCCCACAAAGACGGCTTCTTCCCCCATGTAGATGTATCCCTCCTTGTCATTTATGTGACCAAGTTACCTATCACGAATCGAATACGGTAGGAAGTCATGAATAATGACGAGACAAATTTGTCTAACGCCGTTTGTCCCAGTGGTTTATCAGCGCTATTTTTGGTTTGTACATTCATGACGATTTAATTTTTCCACATGTGATGCGTTAAGCGTTGTGCCTTCGGTTGGATCGCATCTTCACTGTTAAGGGTGATAATTTTAACACCCTTGGGGTGCTCCTTTATTCTATTATTTTTTTTCCCCCCATACATTTATGTATAAATTGTCTACACTGTCTCTTTTAATTCATTTTTGTGTTAGTTAGACAATATGAGAATTTTTTTAAGACACTCAAAGATTACTTCCTTTTTTATGTAGGATTCACTTATTCAAATTAATGTACCATTAATTACGAACTGATGTCCTTCACCTTTTTTTTTTTTTTTTTTGTTTGTTCCCCATGGTGTAATGACTCAATTCAGGGGTCACTTTCGCAGTATGCTTACTTTTTGCACAGCCTTGATAATTTTCCGCTTGATTGCGGTTACATCGGTGGGAACATATAGCATACACCTGGTGCATATACGCATCGAGACTTACGCGATAGAAGTAGACAGTACAGGAACTCCGTTGCACCCAACCTAATGCGCGCAGAAATTTTATGCGTAGACGGAGAATTTCTTCGTATCCATCCGATCATTCCTTATCGGGTGGCACTCTTTTTGTTCTTTTTCTTTTTTTTTGATGTTCCACATAAGGATACATACATATGTGCGTACAGTTGCTTCCTCTACGGATAGTCCTAATTTCCCCGACGCGCTTCATTTTCATAGGCGTGCGGGTTTTTGTGCCATACTGTTTCACAGCAGAAGAGCTACATAAGACCACTACCTGCCGGCGGTTAACTGTTTAGCAATTTTTTTCTTTTTGTGTTTCCCCCCCATGTAAAGTGATCGTGGAGGTATTATACGTATGGCACATGTGCGAACAACGAAGTACTCTGCAGCGGGGTAGTTTCTCATGTACTGCATTTCCTCCTTTTGCAGAATTCAAGTGGGAAAAATTGCATGTTTGTAATTTGACCCCTTGAAAAATTCCTTTACACGTACGGAATTCAATTCGTTTAAAAGAAGTCATTTGATTCGATAAAGCTCCTTTTTCTTGTGTACGTGAAAATAAGGATTTCATATACGTACATGCGTCAACACATGAGAGGAGGATCAGCAGGGGGGTATATATACCTATGCGGGACAATCGCGAAGGTGGATACGTTCTCCTTGCGTTAATCGATATGCGCATACGCTTCCGTAACCCCAAGCGCGTATGTAATGTATCCATATAACGTTATATACATTTATATAAGTATTTTACATACGGCGAGAATGCTTTTAAATTGCGCATTTGTTGCGACGATGAAAGTAATTCAACAGAGGTACAACTTTTCACATTTGCGACTTTTTAGCTGTATGGTATATGTTCCAGTAAAATTTTAAAATATTCCAAATCACGCGTATTTAGTGATGATGAAACGATTGCATTTTTTAACAATTTCATTTCCTTCCCCTCTTTAATTCCCCTTCGCGTGAATACATTCTTCATGCTCCCCTATGGAAGAACATAAAAATGGCATATGCCATTGGCATACGCGCGGAGAGGTACCCGTAAGATGCATCCCCAAAATAATTTTTTTTTTCTTTTTTTATTTCTTGGCATCTTATTGACTACCCCCCCTGTTAACATGCACCATTTTGAATTTTTTTTTTTTTCATAAAAACCCTCACCTTTTTTCTTTTGGATAAATTTACCCTTTTTCCTTTTTTACGTATAAATAAAAAATAAGTAAAAATGAAAGGGAAGATAAGTTAAAAATCGAACTTGTTTATATTTATTAATTTCCTGGAAAGGATGAAAATCGCGAATAAAAAAAAAAAAAACGAAATTGTATAGGCATATATATGTAAAATAATATACGCCATATAATATACGTGCGCTTATGTTCTGTACCTATGCATATATTCGCGCGTCATGAAACCCTGCCAGTGACGCACTCTTTTCGCCCCTCCCGGCGCCTACGCATATGCGCATATTATATATGTAACATATATAATATATATATACATATATGCATACATACTACTGACATACTTTTCCGTACATATACGGGCAGCAGCGCGGGCTCCCTGGAAAAGCGTAAATGGCGAAGGTCCATTGGGAAAGAGAAATGTTCATGTGTGTTTTAAATCCCCCGTCCCAGCCGTTTTAACGATTTTATGCTAGCTTACCAAACAATGATGATAGGGAACTCCTTCCTTTTTTTATGTTCATGTTTAATCTCTCTTTTATGACCTAAGGACATTTTAAGAATTGCAGAACTTGAGTTCGTTGATTTCAGCCGCACCCCCCTGTGACTGCTTTAACTTTTCATTTAAGGGTTGAGAAGCGGTTGCAAATTTGTCGGAAAAACGAGATGTTGCAAAAATTGGAAAAAAAGGGAACAGTTCCAAATTGTGCTTAGCTTCTCCAAATTGTTCAAAAGCGAAGAACCAGAGACAAACGGTGCAGACACAGTGGGGCAAACTGGTTGCACGGAAAAACGCAGCGGCACGAAAAGGGCGCAGCCAGATTGAGTGTCCAAAGCGGAGACAACAGCAGCAGGGAAGTATACACAAACGGGCACAGATAATCGGGAAGAAGAACAAAAAAGAACAAAGCAAAAACAGGACAAAACAAACGAAGACAAATCTAATTGAAAAAACACATGCTCATTTTCCCTTTACGTAGGTGCACCCATATGTAACGTAAGTGGCATTCATTGTATCCCTTTCCGCGCCACCGACCCTCCCCCTTAACTCGCCTCATTACCCTTTCTCTGAATTAATCATATGATGAATAATACATACAAATATGATGCGTCGTATGCATGCACATTAACAACATACGAAGGAAGCTTTGGAGTTTACAATTCCTGTGTGGAATACGAAAATGAGCAGTTAAGAAATTTCACCCTGCAGATAGTAAAAAATGTAATCATCAAAATTTTGCTATTTGAGCACCTCAAGAGGGCATCCAAAGGAGAATTGAATGGTGCACGTCATAATCACGTAAAACTGCTTAGTAGTAACAACGTACATGTGAGGAAAAGGAAGGATGAGAAGAACTCGCAAAGGGGCATTTCTACTAATCGTCATACGGTATATCCGAACGAAGAATGCGCAACTGATGGGGGGGATTATTATACATACGGGTGGCATGTAGAAGATGGACAAATTGACGATCCGAAGGGTGGCAAAAATGTGAAGCTGGAAGGATGTGTGGTGCGAAGAAAGAGCAAAGAAACAAAAAAAAAATATTATAATAAAGAGATAAAGAAAAAAAGGCATATTGCAAGGGGGGAGAGCAGGAGAGAAAATCAAAATGGAGACAGCAATACCATCAGAAATGACAGTCCCCATTTCGTGCAATTGGAAAGGGGCGAAAGGGCGGCATCTATGGGGCATTCTAATGAAGGCCATTCTACGCTGAACAAGCTAATAAATAACTATGTCTACGCGGAAGAGGCTTTTTCTGAAATTACACATAGTGTAGAAAATATCTCGTGCCATCTGGTGGAAAGCAGAAGACGCTCCTCGATTGAGCATGCCGTTTTAAATGATATAACGACATTCACAATTCGTTTGGCGCACTCCATTGGTTCATTACACAAAACGATGAAGGACATTTTTTTTAGCCCATTTTCTCCGGAAGGGGTCGAGAAGCATTCATACCATTTGACTAATAATTTGCTTCGCAGTGGTGATAACCCTGTGTGGTGCATATTGGGGGAAGTGACCCGTCGTAAAGACCTTCCTACGCAGAGCAAAAAAACGAGAAGTCTTTTTTTAAACACCCTCATTAATTATTTCCAGTCGGCTCAAAAATGTAGCGACTTAGACCAGTTGGTAAAGAAAACAAACTCTCGATCGCAGCAAATGTGTAAAAAAGTACATGCCTGTGTAAAGAAGAACAATGAAGGAGACAAAACCATTGTAACAAGATGCGAAATGATGAAATTAGTTTATCATTTGACTACATCGGAGCAGGGTAGCACAATCCTTGGAGGCATTTCACCCCAACGCATTCATTTGGGCATACCCCTTTTTTCGGCAAGAATTGAAAACATTTTGCTCAAGAAGGAAACACAAGGATGTAGTGTTAAATCAAATCAGCATTCTTCTCACGGTGACTCTGTCACATGTGATGATCTTTGTTTCCAAATGAATTTCCAATCAGAGCATCATTTGTTTACCCCCATTTTTATTAGCAGTTGGGAAATGAGGAAACGTGCCTCTGCTATGTTTAAAGGGATGATATGCCATGCTGACCGCGAATCTGATTACGCCTTTGGAGGGCATATTCCCCTTCTGTGCAGAATCATGTGTGATCAAATGCGTTATGAAAATGGTTGCTTTGTGAAGGGTTCGCAAGCGACTTCGTCATGTGCCTCTTCCCCTTTTGGAGATTCTATTTGGGGAAGACAAACAAAGGGAAGAATGAACTTGTTCAGCTTTGTGCCCTTCTTAAGTAAACGTGTATATAGGCGAATCAGAAAAACTTGCCACGTATTCTGGCTGTACCGACGGAGAAATTGGAAAACGGAATGTAGAGACGGAGCCCTATTGAGAGAACCCCAAAAGGGAGAAATAAATCATCTCTATTGTGTGCATAATGGAAGAGATCGGGATAGCTACAGTAGGAAGGGCAACAGGAATGAGCAGGTCAGGAAGGTATATAAACCGACCAAGGGGAAGCCTAATCGTTGTGTAATCCAGCTGGGGATACCAAACCGAAGCGCGCATAAAACAGATGTTACTCCCCCGAGTAGGAGAAAAATGTTATATTTTAAGATCCTTTCTAAAAATATGGTGATTGAATTTTTATCCCTCATTGGGACAAAACAACAAGTACGCAAATCGTTTCCCCCCATGGCTGGAGAGCCCTCGCATTGCTCGTTACTCCCTGTGAGCTGTGTAGGCAAAAGTATCCTTAGGAACTTCCCCAAATGGGGTGAGCATTCTACGACCTATTGCATTAGCAACAGCGGAGGTGACAACAGTGGGAATAACTATTCCGGCGGATATTCAAACGGCAACTGCCGAGGTGACACCCCCAACGGGGGCGGCGGCGCGAATAACTATGGTGGTATGAAAGGTTCAGGAGGTTACGGAGGCGGCCTTGGGGGTGCAGGAGGAAGTGGCGACAACGACGGGGATAACAACAACAATAATAACAATAATAACAGGGATGTGTTCCACGACCTGGAGGACGACGAGCAGGACAACACAAATGACAACAAAAACGGTGGTAGTAGCATGGACAAAGGGAGGAACTCCATTAACATGCACGAAATGAAGATGAACGATGTGAATCTCATGTATGGCAATCACGAGGACAGTGCAACCAACATGATGAATGGAAATTATGTTGACAGCAATGCAGGGAATTTAGAAAATGCCTACAAAAATGAAAAAAGCAGTGGTGGGAATCATCTTAACATTGCAGGAAAAGGCGACCCCTTCTTTGAGAAAGGAGAAAATAACAAAGCAATTGGAATGATTAGAAGTGCATCGAACAGCTTAATGAACAAGGGGGGAGGGACCCCCGCAGGGATGATCAATTCGAATATGAGTTATGTGCCCCACATGAATGGGAAGGGCGGCATGGGAAGCGGCATGGCTAGCGGAATGAACAACCCAAGGATGAACAACGTTCCCCCGAATCAAATGATGAATTACCCAAACATGTATATGGGAGGGAACATGCTACAACCCCATGGGGCTCAAAGTGGCATGCATAATAGCATGAATAGCACAAATTCCGGTGGAGGAGACCTCTTAGATAATATGCAAAATATGAAACAGCCAGGAGGAGGAATGTTAAAGCACAAGCACAACCAGTTGATGCTCCCAGGGCAGAACGCAGGAGATAACAAAATGACTAACTCACAGCAACATAGTAGTACGAGCAGCAGTAGCATGCCCCCAAATAATTTCATGCCCAATCAACTGCACCAGCAGTTTCAAATGCAACAACAGATGCATTTACAGCATTTATTTCATCAGCAAAATGTCCACCCATATAATATGATGCAGCCAAATAACCCTTCGAAGTTCTCAACCCAACAGGGTTCCCAGAAACAGTCAAATGCTTCCATCCTGAAAATGCCTCAGATGTTATCCATGAATTCACCTGATCGGAGGAGCAACTCCATTTCGCAGAAGATGCCTAGGTATGTAATGAACCCAGCGGATTCCTCTAGCAATTCGCAAAGAAGTCCCAACACATTCAGCATGTCCTCCATGGCCAACCCGCCGAGCCATGTAAATCCAATGTCGTTGAAATATCCCTACAAGAATAGCAGCACGTCGCAGCCTATGGGCAATTCTGGCATTTGTAACAACAATAGCAATAGTAACAACGGGAACAACCACGCGCAGCAGAACCATCCCCCTGCGGTGAGTGGCCCGCAACAGCACGGCTTGCAAAACCCGATGAGCAACATGAACCACAATGTGAGCCTCAACGTGAGTCACAATTTGACCAACAAACAGAACATGCAACAGAGCATACTGTCGGGGCCGCACATTCCGCTGACCAAGCAGAATTCACAACAGCTGCTAATGCAGTCGCCGGGTTCGTCCACGGCGCAGAAGGTGGTGCCCCAAATGTTTCAGCACCAGTCAAGTATGCAGCAGGCTATACAGCAGAACGTGCAGCACCAACATAACGCCCAGCAGCAGATGGGTCCAACGCCCAAAACCATGAACACGACGAGTATATCCGGCTCGATCAACAGACAACCCAGCCATGGGTCCTTCTCGCATGTTCCTCTGAACCAACAAAACATGCCTCCATACATGCATGGAAATCCCATGCACATGTACCAGCAGCAGCCCCCGTTTTTCCAGAGATCATCCTCAACTCCTCAGAACATGGGTCCCCAGCAGATTTCTTACGAGTGGATGCACACACCCTACATGCAGCATCAATACATGCTTCAGCAAGGCCAGTTAACGCCTCAGCAATTGTACCTGCAGCAGCAGCAAAAGCAGCAGAGCCTGTTGCACCACGGGCAGCAGAACGTGTCTGCACTGCACGTGCATGCGCAGAAACAGGGCCTGTCGCAGATGCAGCATAACGTAGGCTACCCACAGCATCAACATCAGCAGCACCATCCGCAGCAACAAATGCAGATGCATAGTATGGCGAACCTACCTCAACACATGCGAATGATCCCACCACAGCATGCCAATATGCCATTCAAGCAGAATGTAACACAGCCATTTCCACACATGTATAAGGATAATATGCTCCAAGGAAGCACCAATTTCGAGTTTATGGAAAACATGAATGACATGCAAAGGATGGGATCTTCCTTGAAAGGTCACGTCCTGGACGTGAATACTAGCAATAACATATCCTTAGAAGGAGCGATTGAAGAAGACATTTTCGACAGCCATTATCACTGCGACATATGTAACAAGGATATAACGCATGCGATTAGAATAAGGTGTGCCGAATGTGTTGACTTCGACCTATGTGTAAATTGCTTCAGCAGTGGAAAAGAAATGAAGTCGGAAAAATGTGAGCATTACAATTATCACAATTACATACCCATACCAAAGTATGACTTCCCCTTGTATAAGTTAAATTGGAGCGCAGAAGAGGAGCTGTTACTATTAGATGGGATAAGCAAATATGGTTTTGGAAACTGGGAACAAGTAGCTGATCTGGTGAATTCTGCTGCGAAAATTGCCAAGACGGATAGAGAGTGTGAAAAACATTACTATAATTTTTACCTTAAATCGAACTGTGCGCCGCTACCCGATAATAAAAGGCTGCTAATCAAGCCGGATGGAAATCCATACGACATTGAACACGTGACAGAAAAAGATATGAACGAAAATGATGATTATGTGCAACCGAAATCGAAGAAAAATAACAGGACGCAGATTATTGGGTACTGGCCACTCAGAGGAGACTTCGATATTGAGTATGATAACGATGCGGAGTTGTTATTAGCTGACATGGAATTTAAAGAATCCGATTTGCCTCAACAGAAAGAGCTAAAACTGCAAGTGCTTGAAATTTATAACTCCAAATTGGATGAAAGAATTTACAGAAAAAGGACCGTTATTGAGAGGGGCCTGTTGGACACCAAGTCACAAATGCAGAGGGATAAGAAGAGGACGAAGGAGGAAAAGGAATTGTACACTGCACTGAAGCCACTCTCCAGGTTTCATTCCCCGCAACACCACGAATATTTCATTCAGTTATTGCTGGAGGAGCAGAAGCTCCGTCAAAGGCTGACCAAACTGCAGGAGTGGAAAACGCTGGGTCTGCAAAACATCGAACAGGTACAAGAGTACGAAATTGAAAAGAACAGGAGGGCCAAGGAAGCAGTCAAACATCAGCAACAACAACACCAACTGCAGATGCAACTACAGCAGAACCAGCAGCAGAATCAGCAACAACAGCAGGAACGGCCAGAAAAGGTCGGCACGAAAGCCATGAAGAGCAACAAAAAGGAATGCAAAATTAAACAAAAGGAAGAACAAGAAATGGAAGATAGTAAAAAATTAAACATAGACACCTTTGTCCAACTGGACCTCTTAAACGAGAAAGAAGTGGAGTTTTGTAAAAATATGAAACTTCCCATTCTGTTTTTCCTTCTCATCAAGAGGTTACTTATAATGGAAATTAGCAATAGCAATTTGAATATGCTCAAGGATATCAACGAGCTCAAGCTGAAGGGTTACAAGGTGGGCCAACTCTACGACTTCTTCCTCAGCTTTGACATTAATCAGAAGGAGGAACTCCTAAACAACAACGGAAATGGCAACCTTAAAAATTCATACATAAGAAAGAACGAAGATAAAAGACGAAAACTCAGAACGAACTATGACTGCAACAGTTTTAATCGATCTGATAAGGTGGAGGTGGACGACCCGAATGACAATGGCGGCAATGCTGGAGGCGCAGCCAGTAACGGGGGAAACAAAAACTATGCGGGAGGATCAAGCGGTGCGGCAATTTGCGCCCCGAGTGACATCACCGGTGCGGTAACAGGTGTCGTCACAGGAGCCGTCACCGGAACCGTCACAGATACCCTCTCGGGTGCAGTCGCCAGTACCACTCCAAATGGTAGTGACACCCCAGCGGTGAAGACCGAGATGCTCAATGAAAATGCAGAGCACACCCTGCCGATGAATGAAGAGAGTGCGACCATCCTGAATGAACCCACCTCAATCGATGACCCACAGAACGATAAGGACCTACCGACGAGCACCGAACCAGTGGGAAAAACTGACGAAAACGACAACGTAGCAGCCCCTACTGATAAAGGAAAAACCACAACGAATAGCGCACCTGTAAGTGCCCCCCATGGAGCACCTACTACCGTCAGGGACAGAAAATCCAGAGAGAAAAAAGTAAAGAGAGAAAGAGACGAGAAAGCGACACAGCAGTTGATAACTTCCAAAGAATCTGAAGTGGCGAATAGCCCCCCAAAGGAAGTGACTCCGAGGAGCTCAGGAATCTTAAGCCCTAGTCAAAAGAAAAAAACCAACGTGAAAAAGAAAGCAAGTACTAGTACAGCCACAACCTTAGGGGGGAAAACAACTGAGAGGGCGCAACATTTGGGAGGCCTTGAGGGGGCCACAGGAGAAAAGAAGCGAACGGAAGAAGTTCTGTATGACAAGAAAGAAGTAGAAAACAAAATGAATGAAGCAAAGCTTAGCGAGGTAGAAGCGCCTTCCAGCGGTGCAACACCTGCGGAGGTGATTCCCACGGCAGAAAAATCCACCGATGTTAATGCACTCAGCCCGTACGACGAAGAGGACAAGGAGGTGGTGGAAGACTATGTTGACCTGGACGACGACGTAGATGATAGAGAAACAAACGCCGACGTAGACGAAGATGAAAATGAAAAAAAAAGTAAAAAGAGAAGCACAAAAAAGAAAACAGAAAGTAAAGAAGAAAGCTCACATTTAGTCAGGACAATGAAAATGAAGACAAGTATAGGGGATAACAATTCTACGAATGAGATATTCAAATATTCAAGTAATTCGAGGAGAAAATCGGTGGAGAAAACGAAGGAAACTCCATCACCAGTTAGAAGTAACAGCCAAAGTAAGAAAAAAATAGGGGAAGCAAATATAAGTGAAGAGAAGGAAATGTGCACTAGTGGAATAATTAACAACGCAGACCATTCGTCGGGGAAGCTGAAAAAAGGTTCTCCAAAAAACGATGAAAGTCCTAGCAGTGGAATTTTTGAAAACACGTCCAAAAAGCGAAGTAACAGCAAATCCAAGAAAAGTAGTGACTACGATTTGAGTAGAAATGAGTCGAGAGTGAGCAGCCATTTTGATCTGGAAAATGAAAATGTCTCTTGTGTGGAAATATTTGATTCTAGCCTAGAATTGGATGAAAAATTACCTAAAGGGAAAAAGCTTAGCACCCCCTCCCTGTCTTCTTTATCCACATTGAGTAAGAATGACAAGAACAGACGTAGCAAAGCAAAGAGTGACACCTTGAGCGTGGAGGTTATATCTTCCAGCGTTGATACAAAGGATAACGATAGAAGTGACAGGAAGGCCAAAACAGCTGACGACAGTTCAAAGAAGTCGTCGAAGAAGAGAAAGGGCTCCACCAGTTTGGTTTCCACGTCGACGAAGAAGTCCATGAAGATGTGACGTTGTGTGAGCAGCCTCCACGTCCGAATAACTCACAAGGGATGTGTGCAATTAACTGTTCCATTGTAGGAACAGCGCCACAAATACAAACTGTTCTATTAACTGCTGTTTTATTGACTGCTGTTTTATTGACCGTTGTTTTATTGACCGTTGTTTTATTGACTGTTGTTTTATTGACTGTTGTTTTATTAACGAAAGGTAGGTATGCCACAAGTATGCCCTTTTTTCTTTCTTTTTTCTCTGTTTTTTTTTTCTCATGCACAATTTTTACCCGCCTTTTAAAGGTTTGTTTATTAAATTTTTCGCGGTTTGAATGGATACGCCGTTTTGACACCACATAATGTGTTTAACGTATGTCTTTCTCTCTCCCTCTTTGAGTGTGTGTTGGTCGATAAGGGAGGGGGGAGGGCGCAACCACTGCACGGACGCAGCTCATTTCTTACCATTCCAGGAAACGGGACGGACAATAGTCCGTTTATAAAATGTTTGTTCAGAGAGAATAGGGAAACGATTTGTCCCCCAGCCTGGTGTGACTTGCTTCAGCCGCTTCGTACACTTTGCACGTTTTGCACCTTTTCGCGTGACTTTTGTTGTGACTAAAGGCGAGCCGGGCAGCCTTCCCTCGCTGCCACGGTGCGTGTACATATATGTACCTGTACGCATGTATGTGTGCACATACTGCAGTTGTTTATTTTTTAATTTTTTTCTCTGCTATGTAGAGTATAGAGCCTTCTATCCCTTTTTTTTTCCACCTCATTTTTACAGTAGACTTAACTTTTTAAAGCTTTTTGTATTTTTTAATTTAAACAATTGTGAAACAAAAGTTGTAACATATGGAGCGGGGAAAATTAAAAGCATAAAAGAAAAAAATAATAAAATTAAAAAATAAAATGAAAAAATAAAAAAAAGTTTCCAAATGGAGGATCTTCCCCTTTTGCAAATGAGAAAGTGCAGCGGGATCAGTACAATCACGTATTCTCTCCGCAGACGCGCAGAGCTTATTCTTGCGCGTTTATTTTACGAAACGAAAAAAAAGGCGCTACGTGCGCAGCCACAGAGGGAGAGGGGTGCTGTAATAGGGCTAGCACCTACGTACGACAAACGGGTGTGCAAAAAGGACAGCAAATGGGAGCAAACCAACACACCCAATGCCGGCGCACACGTAATATGCATCCAAATAAAACGGGAGGGATGCGAACGCGCTGTGCTCCGCGGTGTAGCACGTGGGCTCCCTACACATTTCCAAATAGCACAATGGTCTTAATTTTGTAACAGCAGTTGGCCTTGTTACAGGGACAGACCTTCGATGCTTGTGATAGCTGCGGTGACCGCCCTGGCCGGGGCTCCACTTCTCCGACAGCGCCAAAATCGCCGCCAGTTTTCCCCCGAAAGCAGCAGTGTGATTTGATAAAAACAAACAAGAAATAAAAAAATCGGTTAAACAAAAAATAAATGTCTTGCACGGAGAGAATGTTACAAATTTTCGTTTTTAGGACTTTGTAATAATTGTCATTTAGCTCGTTTTTGTAGGTGAAGCTATACCCAGTGCTGCCAATTTTTTTAATGCCTATTAAATGGTATGTGTGGTACAAACAGTCGTTCATTTTTACTAATTTTTTTGTATTTGTATGGAATGGATAATTCATATTGTTAAACATGTTAAAAAGTAGAGCAAAGTTTTTTCTGGAGAATAACTGCTCCACGTTCTTGTATTCCTTCATCATTTTGCTGTTGTAAATATAATCGAACAGGCTGAATGGCTCTTCCTTTAGGCTGTTGTGGCAATCGCTGCAATTTTCGACGCCTACGTCGTAGTGGCACAGGGCTATTTTTATTTTTTTCCCATTGCGGGGGTCTCTCCCGTTGTGGGGGTCACTTCTACTGTGGGGGTCATTCTTGCTGTTTCTATTGCTTCGTTTCAGCTTGTTCTTGCCTCCTTTCATTCTGCGCTCATCTCTCGGCGCAATGCCACCGCTGCTGCCGCAATTTCCACTTGCGGTACTCCCAGACAAGCTGTCTTTTCTGCACAAGGGAGGCTGCTCCCCCTCCGCCTGAACAGCCGAAGAATTAAAAGTACGATCGCTGGAAGTGTCCAAAAAAAGGGAGTCATTCGCGCCGTCCTCAACAGCACAGTTCGGGAACAAATCCTTAACGCTCTGGAGTTTAACATGTTGGTCAGTTAAAAATTTTCTGGCATTTTTTCCAAACAATTTACAATTTTGAAACTTCTCTATGTAGTGGGGCTGTTCACAAATTATGTATTTTTCGAAGGTGTATTTTTTTCCCTTCATTTCTTTCATTTTACTGGCAATTTTGTTTCTTAAAAAAATGGGCATGTCATGAAGCTGCCCGCCCTTCTGCAATTCTTCAGACACACGTGAATCCTCTTTTGGGCTCTTCCTGGTGCTAAGGGACCGATGCAAATTATGGAGACTGAAAAAACTCAGAGAGTAACAATTGTAAATAATGTTCTTCAAAACAGTGTAAAATAAAAACTGCACAACTATTTTCGCGTTAAAAAATGGAATTATTTCCATATTCATTTCGTGTATATTTTGTAGGTTTATTTTTTTTAAAATTTTTATATGGCTGGAGAAGAAGTCCAATGACGCACTTTTATTTTGTGTTTTTGAAGTATCCTCTTTCGAAAGATCACCCGTATCTGTGCTCCCCAGTTTTGTTTCTTCTAGGCAATTTTCCATCTGCTTCTTCACCCCTATGTCGGGGCTTTCTCTGTGTGCACATGTGCAGATGGTATTGTTGGGGCTGCTATTTCGTGTTCGTTGGGCGCACGTGGTGCTGCAACAGGTACTGCCCCACACCGCACTTCTATATGCAGCTTCGTCGTAAGTATTGCGGCCGCGCTTCCTCCCATTATTACTACCATTCAGGGAGACACTTTGACCGATTCCACCTTCATCGAGTACCTCCCCCTGATAATCAAAAGCGTCTTCCCCGTATGCAGTTGCGTCATGGAATGACGATTTAACCTCCAACGCACTTGCCAATTCCTCCCCCCTCTTGTGGCGATGCTCCCGGACAGTGTCTTCTTCCCCCACAGAAAACCATGGAAGGAGCTTACCAGTTGGAGGAAATGCCCCTTTAGAGATACCCAAGCAGTGATCTAAAATTCGAGGGATGTACAAATCAATATGGTTCAAGTCTATATGGTAGGATTCCTCAAAAAGATATTCATCCAGAGTTTTCCTTTCCTGCTCCGTTGGGTAACTTCTGGTTAAATCTTTTAACAACTTCTTCACAGTTGAAAGGTCCTCATTTTGCGAAAGGACCTGCACGACGTTTTTAGAAACCCAATCCGATCGAACGAACAAGTCGTAATTCACAGAAATTTCTGCTACGTTTAGAAACTTCTGGTGAATAGTCCCAAACAGTTTCGCTAAAAAGATTTGCAATTTCTCCATCGCGAGTAGGAATCCCTCTTTTTTTATCAACTGGTAATTTTGTATGATGTAAAATAAGTACATTTGCAGGAGGACGTAGTTGCTAAAGAGGATGCGCATGAATAGCGGGACTGCTTGAATGGAGGGTACGTCCAATCCAAGAAACTCACTAAACGTGGTTAAAAAGAATTTCAGCATTTTTTTCTTTCCCGTCGCTATCGTCTGTTGAACGACACTCAGGCAGTAACAAACAAACTGGTCTTTTATCTTTATATTGAACACATCAAAAGTGATGATAATGGATGAACACAGTAAATAATGCAAATTCCCACCGCACTTTCTATTCTCCTTGTTGTACAAATTGGTGTCCATATTTTCAGTTCGATTCCAAACAATGAATATAGAGTATACCACGCAGGAGTATAAAGATAGCAACGTCACATTTCTTTCCAAAAATTCGATCATCACATTTTTGTCTATATTTTTTGTCACTTCTTTGGACATTGTGTTTCTTCTTTTCCTCTCATTGGCATCATCTTTTTCATTTTTTCGCCTTTTCGCTTTCGATTTTCTTTTTCGCCCCTCCGTCCCGCTGATACTGCAGTTTTCACTACATGTGTTATCTGCGTGGTTCATCCATGCGTGGGGAATCCCCCCCTCGAACGTATGCTGCGTAGGTAACGAACTGCACATAGGGCATCCCTTACCTAGAGAAATGTCTAGCACGTTATTCACTCCCCCCTCAGACGTCTCTCTATCATGGACAGTGCCCAGACGATTGGCCTCGTTCGCCTCCTCCGCGTGGTCCCTTTCGTGAGCGGGTTCCTCACCATGGATGTTTCTGCTTGTTCCGCTTGCGAAGAGATGGCCCGACTGGGAAATCTCCCCCACTTCTACCCCATCTGCAGTTACCTCACGGAATAGCGCCCCTTCCTCCTTGAGCGGAAAGTTATCACTGGAGCCATTATTTATAAAATCGAAAATTTCATCAAAAATGTTCGCCTTCCTACTCACATGGAGGAGGTCCGTCTCACGTCCCACATTGTGGTTCAAAAATTTCAGCCTCTTAATTATCGTAGTAATGCACTTTTCCATATATGGCAGTATATCATTTCTTGTAAAATTTCTTATTTGTAATTTACCACATATCATAAACAAAATTTTTGCTAAGTTTTTGCAATAAACTCTGGTCTTGGTGATATTTCTTTTTATTTGCCTTTTCAATTCATGAATGGTCATGATTTCGTTATTTAAATTGCAGTATATATAATTTAGGCAAAGGATTAACACACAAATTCGATTTTCTCCTCTGTTCCTTATACCTTTGATGTTTCTTATTTTTTCAAAATTGTTAATGTAATAATTGTAGTATTTTAAATCGTTACGATAGCATATTTTTTTTATCAACCTTTCGTGTTTTTTCTTGTCGAAGGGAAGATTATTTTTATCATTTCCATTATCGTACAGTCCGTCTTCTCCATAACAGCCATCATCTGTGTCTGCTTCCTTTGCATGGTCAAAATTTGTCCCTTCCCTCCCTGGGTCGTCATTCTCTGCTTCTTCTTCGCCTTCTCCTTCTTCTTCCCTAACATTGTCAGCACTACCCCACTTTTCATTCCCTTCCCGAGGGGCCATTAGAAACCCGTTAAGCGAGCCATAGTTGTCTTCGCTTAAGCCTTTACTTTTCCTTGGGTACAAGTTCAGGAGCTCTTCCATTCTCCCACCGATAAATATATTGCGTCATTTCAGCTTTGCCCTTTCACGTGACTCTTGGCGGGACGGTATTCTACAAGTGGTGAGTTTTGCTATCTTGTCTTTTCTCACTATCGCGTCTTCTCGAACTGTTGCTTTCCCCTTTCCCTTTACATACGAACAGCTGTGCATCACAGGGAAGCTCCCTTCCGCCAACTATCACGCGAGCTGACACACTCTGAGAGAAGTTGCCCCCCGCTTGGCGCCCAGAGGTACTCAAATGCATCTATGACTACTTCTCGCGCAATGGAAACGAGACGAAAAAAACGAAATGAACATAAACAAAAAGGGAATTGGCTTTAAAGAAAATTTGCTCACGCTTCCTCAAATGATTGAACAAAAATGAATAAGCGTTCCCGATCACGAACAGCTATATACATAATGTGGGTCTTGCGTAGAAAACGACCCCCCAAAAAAAAAAATACAGAAATGAAAGAAGGGGGGGGAAGAAATGCATAAATTGGAAAAAAAAAAATGCATAGAGTTGTTATCATAAAAATGAACAAATGCGCTAAAATAAAACGCGTAAAATGGAGAAAAAATATGCTTATATTCATCATAAAAAAGCATGCCTTTGTGAGTCAAAAAAAAAAAATACATGCATTTGGAAAAAAAAAAAAAAAAAAGAAATTCTTGGAGCCAGGAGAATTTTTCTTTCTTAGGGAATTACGACCAGCATATGCTACGTTCCAAGTTGTGCCAAAAAAAAATCGCAATAAATAGAAAATAATACATACCATATACACCATTGGGTAAATATATTCCTCCCTCTATACATGTATTTATTATCTACATAATCTATTTATACACATAAGTGAATCACTGCCATTTCTGAGGGATTACGGAAACGCATCCTCCGGGGAAAAAATCCAAGCTCTTTTTTTTTAATGGACGGGACAGGTAATTTGAAAAAAATGCAGTCTTGCTTACGGACAGACCCAACGGAGTAGCGCGGAGAAGAAGCAGAAAGAAGTTGTTGCCCCGTCGCTGATTTAAAGCGATGTTCGCAAAAGTGATCGTATCTTTTAGTAACCTAAAAATATTCATATTCATGTAATTCATTTTACTGGCGTGTGCTAATAATAAGAATTATGTAGTATTTATGTATATGGATTGCCCTTCACGGTTTAAAAGCACAGCAACATGAATCAGCTTTTTTCCATGGGTAGAAAAGAAAGTTTTTAAATAAAAAGGGCCCTAAATCATTCTTCGTAACAATTTTACATAAGAAGGGAGTGGAAAACTAGGCCCTTTCAATGTTTGTCTGCCTTTTTAGCTTTTTTTTTCTTTTCACTGGGTTGCGCCAAGTAACATAAACAGGTTGCACTAAAAAAACCTTGGAGGAGCAAATGGACGGATACGGGATTAAGAAAACGAGACTCTTCCACTGCGGGGAAAGGCGTGATGAACGACGCCACGCGGTGACAGCCCGCGCAGGGAAGTAAAAGAGTATAAAAACAAATATAACCGCATAGACTAATGTACACATATATGTATGTATGTGTGTGTTCTACACGCCTTCACCTGTGCGAGCCAGTCACAGGTCGTTGAAAGGGAGCTGCGACACGTCGCAGGGCAGGGGGTCGCTAAAAAAATACTTATGCTTCAGTGCATCCTCCGCAGTGATGCGCTCATGCGAATTCAGCCGCAAAGAAGACATTAACAAATCGATGCAATCGTCATCGTCAATTTTAAAGAAGTTTTTAAAGTCCTTCTTATTCGCCTTTGTAAATTCTGTGTAGAGGGGAAGGTAAAGAGCCTCAGGCCAGTTGTCTTCACTTGGTGTGCCTAGCAAAAAAAATATTTTCCCTAACTGATCGATTTCGTTTTCTCCAGGAAATAAAGCCTTCTGTAAATGAAGTTCTGCAAATATGCACCCAAAGCTCCACATGTCAACCGAGGAGTTGTATTTATTACTTCCCATTAGCAATTCGGGTGCCCTGTACCATAGGGTGACAACTTTGCTAGTTAAATTTAACGTCCTTTTACTATGCTTATCTTTTGAATACGTATCTGCGTACATATCATATGCATACTTGGAGGACAATCCAAAATCTGCAATTTTGACTTCCCCTTTTTTGTTAATGAAGATATTCGCAGGGGATAAATCTCGATGCATAAAATAGTACTTATGTAATACATTGAGGCCATTCAAAATCTGCAAAAGGATGCATTTTTTTTGGCTATCTGTTAGTAATACTTTTCGATTAATAATTTTTGCCAAGTCGTAGTCCATAATTTCCATCACCAAATTTATGTAGTCCTTCTCACAATACAAATCTAATGCGGTCATTATATTCTGATGTTTTATTTCTTTCATTATTTTTATTTCTCTAAGTAACACGAAGTTAATTCCACACTCATCGATGTAATTACTTATTTTGTTAATTTTCATTTTCTTGATGGCTACTTCCTTTTTCAGTATCGTGTCGTACGCCTTGTACACCTTTCCGTAAGACCCCTCCCCCAGGAAGTTGGGTTTGAAGATGTATCTCTCCGTCGAGTTCGTTTCCATCATGGGCGGCGACGGTCCAGACGCCACAATTGGGAACTTTTAGTGGGGGGCTCATTAGGGTGCGCCTTTTCCCCGGGACGCACACAAATGGCAGCCCTAGAAAAAAAAGATGCTTCAGTGGTAGAAACACTTATAACGAAGAAGGGAGCACAATTTTGTGGCATTTACGTGGAACTCTACTTCCTTTATTTTTGTCATACTCCCCTCACGGCTTCATCACTTCTTGTACATGTCTCTGTTTTTACTGCATTTGCTGCGTACCTTTTTAAAGTATTTTTTTTTTCATATCGTTTTGGTCAACCGTCACTTGCCACGTGAAAAAAAAAAGGTTCAGAAAAGGTGTAGGTGGCTTCAACGGGGGCTTCGACGGGAGCTTCCACGCAAGGCCTCGCTTGCCTTATCGGGAGTTAATCAACTTATGGGGGGTGGTTTTTCCCACTTTGCCCCTTTTTCTTCACGCACTGGCCAAAATGTTCACTCAAGCTCTCGCGAGGTGGCGGCGCTTGCGCATGTGGCTTTAACTTGTTTCCTTTTACAATTTTGTTCGTACTCGTACCCTCATGCTAAGGTGGCGCCTTAGTACCCCCTTGGCAGATTAACATATCACCAATTGTGCCAAAAAAAAGAGAACACCGCAATATTAATATGCTGTAATTGTTATCGCACTGTTGACAAGAAAATGGCCATTTGGAAGGAGGAAATTGAAATTCCCTCTTGGAGGAAGCGTGCCTATATGTTTGACTCCCATTTAAAATGAGAAAAAGAAGGCAGCCTTTTTGCAAAACTTTAGTTTTAAAAAATGGCATAAAAACCTTGCCACGGGTACTCTTTTCTACACGTTATTAATTTGCTAAAGGGTGCACATGTAAATATGTATGGGTGAATATACATGCGTATGCGCGCCTTTCTTCAGCACAGCGCTAGGGGGAGAGGACAATTCAAAACCATAAACAAGTTCAAAAAGGACTCGGAACAGCACATGCGACACATTTGCACATGTACGTGAAACAAAGTAGAAAAAAAAAAAAAAAAAAAAAGGACAGCTACTCAAGCCGAATTTACTGAAAAATGGATAACCTGTTATCTTCAATAATTTTTCCGTTTAGGAATCCCTTCTCATTCTTTTGCTTCGTTGCTTCCTTGAAGTATCTTCTCTTCTTTTTGTTGTTTTTCACTTTAATCATGTATCGTTTGTACGGCTGACACACGTAGCGGCAGTCGTACTTGATCCCGATGTTTCCCTTTTTCTCTCGCAGCAAGTTTCTGCACAGTATGAGATGCTTCACCATAATTTCCAGGGGGGAGTACACGGGGACCTTCAGGCATAGGCCTTCGGTGGGGGGGTAAAAAAAAAGGGCATTAAAAATTGGCACTCAACTGTGTCACTCAAATGTGGCACTCAAATATGACACTCATAATGGCATGAATATCCAACGCGCGGTTTGCCAAAACTGCGCAAAATGCATAACGCCCCTCGAATGCACGAATAGTACCCAGTATGCCCTCGTTCACCGAACTGAACGTCAGAAGATTTCTGCTTTTCGAGAAGAACATGCGAACGAGTCTCTCCTTGTACGGCTTATGATAAGCAATCAGCGAAGTTGTGTCTAGGATACACTGGCGCACGTTCACCTGCCGTGACTTGTTAAAATGGGACAATTTTTCTCGAATCCATAACAGGGCTAAATACAAATGATCCTTTTTAAATTTTATGTCTTCACTATTTGGCGATTTATTCTTATATATGTATTGATATATCTGATCGAAATTTATGTCATTAAATTCGTAATGCTTTTCATTAAAGTTCGAGTCATTACTGTCACAATCGGAGGTGCTATCACCGTCACTTGAGCTTGAAAATGTGTGTGCTTTCTTTGGGTACCTCTTTTTTCCAGATGTCCCCTTTCTGAAAGATTGTTTTCTATTTTTATTATTGTATGGATTATCCTCCGCAAAAAATTCATATTCTTTGGACAGTTTGTTGTAATGCTGTTCATACTCTTCCTGCAAGTTGTTCGTTTCAAAAAATTCTTCATCGTAATTTGATCTCATGTTTCTGTATATCATTTTTTCGATTTTTTTTTCCCTCGCAAGGTTATTATTGTTTAGGTGGGAATTTCTCTTCGAAGTTTCATTCACCCCTGTAGTGTCTGTTCCCTTCTGTTCCTCCGTCTTGGGCTGATTCGCGAGGTGTGCATTTTTGTCGTCCTCTGCGCTCCGCGTAAGTTGTTCATCCTCCTTACGCGCTTGTTCTTTTTCTGCGTTGGACGGGTCGAACGGCTGCCCCTTTTCGTTGTTTGAGGATCCTTTCGCAGGGAGCTTCTCGGGGCGCTTCTCGGGGTGCTTCTCGGGGTGCTTCTCAGATTTCCTCTTCAGCTTGTTATCACCGCTGTTTACGATGCTCCCCTCCTTGTCATCAGTTGTATGCCCATTGCTGTCGCTACTTTTGTAGCTACCTCTGGCGCGATGCCCCACTAACTTCTTACAACGGCGTCTCTCACACATCCCTAGCTCCTCCTTTCTGTTAATCTTCTCGCGGTTTTCCCCTCTTCTGTTGAGCTTCTCCAATTTCAACACTATGTCATTGTGTCTGCTATACTCCTCATTGGAGCTATCACAAAGTAGACTATCGGAAGACCCGCAATCCGTTCTGATGTCATCATAAAAGTGGTCATCACTTAAAGTATCATACGTTTTGTAACTCGTTTCACTGAGTAGATCATCCTCTATATCATAGTCTCCCAATTTTTTACAATTTTTTTTTCTTAAAGAAATTCTTTTAATAAAGTCTTTATTCGGCTTCAATATCTCTATCAGCTGTTGCGTGTACAACATGGCAATGTGAAAGCTTCCCCTCTCGTTGGTCAACAAATCTGCGTACTCCTCTTCCAGAATATTCAGCACCTGTATAATATTTCCACTTAGAATGCTATTTCGTATGATGTGCCTCGTCTGCAGGGAGTTTACCATTTTTCTTAGCTTATCCTCAGACAGGTACAAGTTGACAAAATATTTAGTAATGTATTCCTTATCTAGTGAGTACCCTTTTCCTTCTTTTTTATTTAATTTTTTTAAATTTTCATTTTTAATCATCCCTGATTTCTCTCGTAGCAGAAGCTGAATTTTTTTGTTAATATCGCTTTCACTTTTTCTCGATTCTTTTTTGGTATTAAAAAAGTTCGTGGCCAAAATATTCAAATCTTCCTTCAAGTTCAGGCTTCTTTTACCTCTTAATCGATTTAGTAGTAAGATGTTGGAGTCTTTTCTTACGTTTAATAAATTGCCAAGACTGCTTTTGCGCGATATCCATAGTGTATTTTGCAAGTTTGCTGGGGGGTAGTTGTATGGGCTAAATTCGTAGCTCTTTAGGATGTTGGCCGTGAGATCGCTGATCGTTTGCTCCTCTGCTTCTTCTGTGGGATCCTCCTTTGTGTGCGCCTGGTTCAGAGGGGGGATTTGTTCTCCAGAGAGGGGAGGCTCAACGGCTGGCGAGGCCGCATCGAGGTGGGGGGTAACATCCCCTGTGGTGCCTTCCACCTTCTGCTGATCTGGGCCACTTGTTCTATTCGACTTTTCTTGCCTGTCGCTACTTCCCGCGATTTCCCCTATTGGATGGCTATCCCCTTTCGTGTCATCAGTTTCAGATTTGGGATCTCCCCCCTGTTTATCCTCACCTTCATTTTGATCACTTCGGAGTGCATTGCTTGGGGTGAGGGTAGGGTTTCCCGTTTTCCCCCCTTTCTTTGCCTCTTCTGTTTTGTCGCTCCTTTCGCCCCTTTCGTCCTTGTTCAGTTTTTCATACACGTCTAGGTAGTTAATTAGAAATTTGTTAAAATCGTGTTTGTCGTTTTCTTCATTTTGATCCTCCTTGGAATTTTTTCTTCCTATTTTGTGGGAGCTCGCATTTTCCGGGGCCTCACTGCTGGGGGCACAACCTTTAGATTGAGGATGATTCTCCTTCTGAATAGGATCATTTGCGGCTTCTACTGCTTCGTCTTTCTGTTTCTCGGCTTCCCCATCATCGTGCTTGTTCTCGCTACTTTGAGTTTGTGAAAGGTGTGTTGGCGGTTCCTCGCACTTCCCTTGGCTGCTTTGAAGACTCGTGCTGAGAGTATCATCTGCGTTGTGTGCGGGGTCGCACGTGGGTTTGCCTTTCACTTCGTCCTTTTTTACTTCATCCTTTTTTACTTCATGGCTTTTTGCTTCGTCCCTTTTTACATCAGCCTTTTTTACTTCATCCTTTTTTACTTCATGGCTTTTTGCTTCGTCCCTTTTTACATCATCCTTTTTTACATCATCCTTTTTTACATCATTCCTTTTTACTTCATTCTTCTTTCCTCCGTCCCTTTTTACTTCATCCCTTTTTACTTTATCCTTTTTTGCTTCGTCCCTTTTTACTTCATCCCTTTTTACATCATCCCTTTTTACATCATCCTTTTTTGCTTCGTCCTCCCCCCCGGGTGCGTCCTCCTGGCCCGCAAAGAACTTATCCAGGGAGTGTTTACTGTTGGAGGACCCGCCGACGCTGCTACCATTGTCTCCCGTGTTGTTATGCTTCTCCATGAAATCCACGAACGATTTGTACGTGTTAAAATAGCCGCACTTTATCAAATGTGATTTAATAACATCAGTAAAAATGTCTTTCTGAATATAAATGGACTTTATGATTTTCCTTTCCTTTTCACATTCTTCATAAATCATATTATATATGTCAAAGTAGAAATTGTTCAGATGAAATCTGATTCGGTCTCCTAGAGTAGTCAATCCAACAGTGGCATAATAATCATACTTGGGATTCACATTGCAGGCCTTGCCTAGAAATTTTCCATTTTTTGTAAAAAAGGCACTGTTGTCGAAATAGTTAATCCCACACCCGATTATGTCATATTTGGTATACCCACTGCTGTAACTTTCTAATTTGCTATCGATAATTTTTTTCCCATCATCATTCTTATATCCAAAGGAGTTATATTCAGATCCTGGGTTTTTGTTAATTGTGTAATTTTTGCTGGTCATGCCTATTACAATTTTGGAGAAGTTGGAGCAACTTAACACTTCGACTTCAAAATAGTATATGCTGCAATCTCTGGATGCACATTTATTTACCTGAACGCACGCAATGTCTGTGTGTTTTCCCCATGCGCTATACGTGGCAGTCAGTTTGTCCTTACTTACTGATATGAAATTGGATACATTCGTGGTGTTTATACACACGCTGTCTCTGAATAGATTGTTCAGATACACGTATCTGTGCTTAAACCTTTTATTCTTTTTCTTTAGATACAGTTTTTTTTTTTTGTCATAATGGCTGTTGGTATGGTTGTAATAATAATCGTGTCTGTCCTCTTCTCTGAGTATTTCCCCTTCCGACTGTTCTTCGTCCTTAAATTGGTGTTCCTTCCCCCTTTTGCCTTTTTTTTTCCTTTTTTTTCTGTCTCCCTTGTGATACGCCTGGTCTTGGTCAGCATCGTTCGCTTCGTCATCATCGTTCGCTTCGTCATCATCGTCCGCTTCGTCATCATCGTTCGCTTCGTCATCATCGTTCGCTTCGTCATCATCGTTCGCTTCGTCATCATCGTCCGCTTCGTCATCATCGTCCCCTTCGTCATCATCGTCCCCTTCGTCATCATCGTCCGCTTCCTCGTCATCCTGTTCATCGTTGTCGTCTTCCTCATCCGGTTCATCGTCATCTCCTTGTTCTTCAAGGGTTTCCTCCTCCGGCTCATCATCGTCTTCGTCATTATCGTCGTCGTCCTGTTGCCCCCCCACCTCGTCATCCTGCTCATCCTCGTCATCATAATTCTCCTCGTCCACGTCAAATTCGTCTTCTTCATAATCTTCCTCTTCGTCGTCGTCCTCCTCCCCATCATTGTCTTCGACTACGTCATTATCATCATCGTCGTCCTCCTTATCATCATCCTCCTCCTTTTCATCTCCGACGTCGAATTCGCTTCCCTCCTGCTCTTCCTCTTCTTCGTCCTCGTCCTCCTCCTCCTCTTCTTCTTCTTCTTCATCCTCCTCCTCTTCGTCGTCCTCTTCCTCTTCTTCGTCGTCCTCACCCGAGCTGGACTCTGAATCGGACTCCAGGTGCGAGTCGGACCCGTTTCCATCATCTCTGTTTTTTCTTCCTTTTCCTTGATTACCTTTTGGCTCATTTGTTTTCTTATCCCCTCCTTTTCTCCTTCCCCCCTTGCCTTCGGTGCCCTTCTTTCTAAAACACCTTTTATTCGAGTTCTTCGACAAAAACAGCGTCGATTTGGATGGGGTGTAAGAGAAGTTACACAAGTGCTTCTTATCAAGGGTGTTTAGCAGTTGTTTATAATTGGTAGAGTTCCCCAAGGTGGAATACTCTGCACTCCCTTCATATGTACCTTTTTTGTTTCTCTTTTGCTGGAGATGTGTTCCCTTGCTCATACTGCTAGACACTTCTTTCCTCTTCTCCTTCCTGTTATTTTCGCACTGACGCGTGAGCACATCCTCTCTGCTCAATTCTCTACGATCTCCACGGGGGGGTGCCACATTTGGAGAAAACAAACTGGCCAGGCTTTTCCCCATTCTGGCGGCACACCCTTTGGCAGGCTCTGTTTGCATAGGATACGTGCACAGAATAGTCCATCCTTTCTTGTTATGCCGCTTCGGCGACAACTTAGGGACTAAAGGATATTCCTCGCCTCTCCTCTTGGTGGTGTAATCCCTCCCGAGTGACTTATCGCAAGCAGGGAGAATCGCCATCCTTTTTGATGCGACCTTTTCATTTTCGAAATTAACTGTTTCGTCCATTTGGTGCACTAGTCTTACTTCTTCGCACGGCAACAGAAGTCGCTCCTCTTTTTTATTCTTCCTTCTGATCAGCATACACATCTTGCACTCTACAAACTTTACCAAAACGGTTAAGTAAAATTGAACGTTGCAAAGAACAAAGTGGAACAAGCACAAATAATAACCTGCCAGATATATTATTCGTTCCACCACGTGCGTAAAGGTGTATAGCACTAGTTCGACTTTGCGCGATTGTTCACGCAATTTGGACGTCCACACAGAATTGTCAAAGTAGGGTGGTGTGGCTTGGGTTTGATCTCCATCAGGCGCTTTTTCCCAGTGGGTAGATGCCATGGAAGGATATCCATTCGTATATTTGCATGCACAGGGTGTACCATCAATAGTGCCTTCTTTGTCGAAAAAAATTATTTCACTCCCATTGATGATATCAACGGGGGAAAGCTTCCCATTAGCAGGTTTAGTGACTATCCTCTGTGGATAATTTACCGCTTCTACCTTTCCATGCGTAATCAGTCCAGTTACGTCTCCCCCGACTTCTACGCGCAGAAGCTGTCGTGGGATAACCTCCCCTTTGCCAATCTTGCACTTGTAATTATTATGTTCCAAATGGGCCAAATGGAGAAGGCATAACTTGTGTAATGTTACACTGCAGGGGAAAAACTTCTCGCCTCTAAGTTGGTAGTTTTTTTTTTTTCTTCTCAAAGGTGGAAGGCACAGATAACAATTCGAATGTTCAATCTCCTTGGGATAATTTTTATCAAATACGATATGAAGGTTCAGAAGGGATACATTTGCAAAACACTGCGGTTGAATCTCCGTGTGTGTGTACGCTGGGCCATAAAGAAAAAGTTTTTCCCCCTGATGCTGTAATGGAGAGGGAAACGTTGCCTCTCCCATCCCCAAACTGCAATTCAAGGGGGGGGGCTCTAGAATAACAGCGCCTAACAGTTCGGACAAATCTGAAAGACTGTAACTCTTGGCAGGCATTATATACATGTTAAATTTCCTCCATTTGGAGTCAATAAGGCAATTCATTTCTGTCATGTTATAGACACTCACTTGGCTATAAGTTCCTTCATATTTGCATATGTTACTAGCATGGCATTGGATCGAGCTGAGTACCTCTGATCGTGAACCTATCAGATTCACCCTCAACATGTTACTTGTTTTTTTTTCACCTCTTTTCACTCCCAACTCATGGCAGTCATGTGCGGATTGGGAAAAAACAAGCCCTGGTATGTACGAGGTGTGGGAGAACTGCGCAAAAGGAGATACGTGTGCGTTTTCTTCCTTTTCTCGATTCTCTACAGAATTATAGAAAAATGGATGCGTCGAATGGATTGATTTAAAAGATGATGTTAGGTTGTGGCAATCATCGGTTATTCTTTTTTTATGCTTTCTCGTTCCCCAAATCGAGTCCAAATTGTAATTTTTTGAAACATCGCAATGGCAGACATATAGGCAAAGTTCTCGTCCGTTCATTTTTTGACTGCTGTCTTCGCGTCTTACCCTAAATCGGGGGGGTACTCTCCGTCTATGGGCAGTCATGCTGCTTATCACTTGGTTACATGTCTGCAACCTGTCTCGCGTTAGAAAAAATGTCTTAATTTTTTTTAATTTTTTTTTACAACATTTCGACATTGGCGCAAGAAATCGTATGAGGCATATTTGTCGATTCCATGGAATTATCCTTTTCGAATATTCGGAGAAGGATCGTCTTTTCCATTTTAAAGGAACTTCGAGTAGTCCACTAAAGTGTCCACCCGGCATGTTCCATATGCGAGAGTCTAATCTGTATCTTTCTTTCTCCACTTTACTGCTGAATGGCGTTCTGCTCGTACTTGTAACGTACAGCGTATTTTCATTCTTCCTGTTCATCTTTAAACGAGTAAAGGGGTGTTCTCCCTTTTTCTTCGATAATTTTACATCAGCATAATTTTCCCAGTTGTCACTAAAATGTTTACGTCTTCCATTTTGTTTTTCATTCTCCACGCAGAAAAATAAAGCTTCTCCGTTGCCTCCCTTTACCTCATATGTAATCCTATCGCAAATTTTATTTCTTCTCCTCAGTAGCCCCTCCTCGTATGTATTGTCTGATCCTAACATGGTCTCTTCTCCGTTCGCGTTCGCATCGAAGAGGTTGTACGATACGATTTTCGCATGGGAACGAGGGCTGGGGGGAATAACTTGATCATAATTTACGCTGCCATAGCAGTTGGAGAGAGGATAAAAGGAGCAGGTCTGTCCTATCGGTTCAATTGTCTTCTCCCTTGCGGAGAAGTAATCATCTAATGCGATCTCCCGATTTGTGCACAGTGCGCCAAGGCACTCGGTCATTTTTGATCTTTTGTCAGAAAGGGGGAAGCACAGGAAAAAGGAGTAGAAATGGTTTTCTCAGTGGAGGTATTCTTTCCGAAAAAGGGAAAGAAAAAAAAAAAAAACTTGAGAGGGGGACACAATGCGATTTATAACTATGTTAACGAAATGGGGCGTGTTGCAAGTTGTAGTCCGCACGCAGAACAAGCAGAGCATACCTCACAAGAAGCAATCATAAGAATTACACACAATGTGAACGAAGAAGACGAAGAAGATGAAGAAGAACAAAAGGAAGAAAAACTTTGAGATTTTCGCTACATATATAAATGCATATACAAGCACATAATCACACACACATACACGCGATCATGAGTATTAATATTCTCATTTGGTCTATACTATATCTGTGCATTTATCATGGCTTCGCGCACTTTTTTTTGCTGGGATTTAATTTTTTCCCTTAATAGAATTCACCATAATAGGGATTAATTTCACATAAATCCTAAGTGAATTATAATATGCATATCTACGTGTAAAAACTGCGAAATATTATCTTACTGTGATCTTATTATATTCCCATTTTCTTTTCTCTTTTTTTTGGGGATTCTTTACAAATAGTTGGAGTATGCTTATAGATCCGTGTTCTTATCGCTTATTATCCGTTCACGAAAGAAGATACGGGCGGACTGCACGTGTATAGCAAAATGCAGCGACAGTGTGTCCCTTTTCTCCCGCAAATGTTGGAACGAAAATGGAAGGAACACATAAATGGGATGTCCCTTATTACGTTTTTATATTATCACACACGGCAGCGCCCATCAACAAAATGTTGCGCATATCACAAGAGAGCTATAAACAGGGGCGACTCAAAGAAAAAAAAAAATTACAAGAGCCAAAAAAGGTTTACATAAGCTTTGGCATCGACGTGATGTAAAAATATATGCGTGTAATGTGTGCACATATGTGCCCGTGAAGAGGGGGGGCACTTACTATTTTAATTAACACGTACGTAAAACTATGTACATATGTGTAAGCATATATACAGTACATGCCCAATGGTGCGGGAACGTAAAAATGTCACATACACAATGAAGGCAAACTGCTTGACAGCATGCTGCTTGAGGGCATGTTGCTGAAGGGCATGCGTAATAGCAGCGCTCTGAGGAAAGTAGCTATGCTCCTCATCACACACCCAAGGTGTTAATTAGGGAAATGACCAAATCCAAAACGAGCAGGCTACATACAAAGGGGGGGACACGCGCAGGAGTGTATGTGTACGCATACTTCCGTGCATATGTGAACATGTATGCACGAATCCACATACTTAATGCTCACAATCTGTTTACTCATATCATTTGGCTTTCATGCGTAGCACCCTCACGAACAAAATTTCATGCATATATGAGGGTATTCAACTCAAAAGGGAAATATAAAGAGAAGAAAAAAATCTCCCAAGTTCTGCTTTAACTCAGTAATGCTCGCTCGGCAGAAAGCTTTCTGTACATAAAAGAGAAATGTAAAACAAAAAGATGAAGCGCACAGAGCAAAACATGCCACTTAAAAGGTGCGGTTTAAAGTGGCATATAATGTGCCCTATAAATCGTGCGCTTTAAAATGTAAAGGGCAAAGTGAATGGGTTAACCCACTGAATGTGCCTTCTCATTTGCATATGTAAATCACATACAGGGGTGAAAAGAGAAGTCAAGTGACGGGGGCGACTGACGTAACGTGCTTACAGTTCGGTGATGGAAATGAAACAAATTCAACTCGGAAGATAACTCCACAATTGGTGAACGCATACATATAGATAAGAGCTTGACAAGGCATGCGTGCATGTGTTATGCACAAGTGGGGAGATGTACACATACACGGACGTATGTATGCATTTATATAGCAATTCTGAATGGCGTTTAATGGACGAAATGTACATAGAGGGAAGGTATGCTATGGAGGAGAAGGCATTGTGCGCAGCGAAGGGGAATTTTCACATTTATCGAGATGCTTGCGCCTGGTTACCCTTAGGAGCAATTGCTTAAATCTTGCGTTCTGACATTTGCGCGTCAAGCATTTTGTTTCCGCTCGCCCATATGTATAACATGTCGATATATGTTCCCTTTATGATGGCAGGGAAAGGAGCCAATTTTTTTAAACGTTCTATGTGTGCAGGAAGAAGGAAAAGAAAAATGCACGAATTTGTAGTGGAGCAAGTGTTTCGCGCAGAAAGAAAAAGGGATGGGTCAATGCAGTACGTATAGGCATGCTCTGTGCATTCATGTATACATGCACATTTGCATATAATGCTTAAACGCCCAGCCCCAATGTGAGAACAACTTTATATAAATGGGGGGTAACGGGAAGGGAAGGGAAAAAAGAAAATTCGTGAAACAAAAACAGATGGCACAATTTGGCGCTACTCAGACGGAGGGGTCAAAACATGCGGAATGATTAAGCGCTGCTCGGCGAAAAAAATGAACAAAATTATGTTAAGCGCGGAAAATACAGTTTTATTTCAACGTCGATTTATGCATTTCGCTTCGTTATGCTTTGCTTCCCCACGATTTGGTTCGCTATGCTTCTTTTTTTTTCTTCTTCTTTTTCTTCACACATGATATACCACTCGAGTATTCTGCTGATGAAGAACATAACCTGAAAAGACTTTCCCAAAAAAAAAAAACATTCCCCTTTAGCAAGGTTTGCGTAAGGCATTACTATCCTTATGCTGTGGATGTAATTTCACTTTCCCTTAAACACATGTGGAACGAAATAACGAACAGCTAAATTAGCCCCCCTCTCAAAGAATGCACATGTAGAGGGTTATTGTGAGGGGAAAAAAAAAAATATGAAACACATTTTATGTGCATACCACAAAATTCACCATGTTGTGATGTGTACAAAGTGCCTACGAAATGTTCTCCGCATCCTTCCCGTGAGGTTAAGAAAAACGCAAATAGTGATCGTTAAGTGGTAGGGTTAAATAACTATCCCGTTTTTTGAGGCCCAGCATGTTTGCGAAATTGAAAAGACAACCATATGTGGAGAGGGACACGCTGCGCGAATTTTCTCAAGTAGAATGAGTGGCTACCCAGTTTGCACAGACACCAACGCATTTGACATGTAGTCTCTATGCTAATGAACTCCGTTTTGTTCTTTATATATATAATTATTTTCCCCCTCGCGACCGCTTCAGCAGCACAATGCAGACACACACAACTGCAATTTTCTTTGCGATGAAACGTGTACTTCTGAACGCATAGCATAGGTATATACTTATCTGCACATAACATTTATGCTGTTAAGAATTTTTTTTTTTTCTTTTATTCCTTCCAGTGGTCGATTTAACAAATGCTGCTTAAAAAATATGTGCAAGAAAAAAAAAACAAAAATGAAATGGTCCCCCCTTCCCCCCCCAAAAAAAAAGAGAGGCCCCAAGAGGAAAGTGCTTACATGATGAACATACAAAAAGGGGGTGTAGCATTTATAACTTCAAAAGGATAAAAAAGACAAAATAACAAATCGGTAAAAGGATGGGGTGAAGTTCCAAAAAAAGGGCAGGGGGAAAAGTATACCTCCAAAATTTGATTCCCCCAAACAAGGCCAAAATGGCAGAGATGGGAATTTTAAATGCGGTTTTTATTTTTTTTTCATTCCTTTGAGTAAGCTATCTGGTGGAGCTGTGCCCCGTGGCTTCAGTGGGGGGATGTTTAAAATGGTCGCCTGGAGGTTCCACCCAACTTACGCACACTTTTCTCCTTTTAAACGTTATAGCTACCCCTTGCCTGTCTGCGGGAGGGAGCGCGCGCACCCTGATTAGGAGACCCATCCGATTGGCTTAAGTCTATTGAACTAGCAGATTGCGATGAATACATTACAGTTCCCTCGGAAGACAATCCACAATGTTGCTTAAAATCGCTGCGCGTGTATGCAGCTGTCATGGTCTTGTTACCCGTTCGGCCCGATTTTTTTTTCTTCTTTTTTCTCGTCGCTTGTTTATATCCCTCACTTTTTGTTGACTTCTTCTGACCGAAGGAACCATTTCTGGTACCGTCTTTTTGGGATATGGAAGAAACACTGCTCGTTTCAATTAAGGAAGAGGAGGATGACGAGGCGGCCCTTTTTGCCCCCTTTTTGCATTTGCTTTTTTTCCCGCGGATGTTTAGGCGCTCCTTCATACCCTCCAGGTTGAGGTTTTGCACGGCCACTAAGAGCAAGTGGTATATTCTAAGAGCCAGGGATAGACACACGAAAAAGAATTTGATAAAAAATGGTAACAGCGGAATTAAGGCAGGTGCGAGGATAACCAAAATGGCAATTATGGCAAATTTCTTGATGATATTTTTGATCCGATTTGTGTAATAATTAACACATTTTTGAATGTTAAATAGGTAGCAAAAAACCTCAAAGGTACATTTGCATGTATCGCTATCAGAATCTTGAGAATCTTCCTGTTCAGTGTTGTATCTGGTTATACTGGGTTCGACTGCCAGTTCTGGCAGTGCTGCGTCTATGACGTGTACAGTCTCTTTTGAAGTTAATAGGAAATCTTCCTTGGAACACTCCCTCCCATTCGAATCCCGAAGAACTGCCTTACACATGGTTTTTATTTCTTTGTTTATTAAAAATTTGATAATAAAATAAAAGGCGTAATTCTTGTTAGCCTCAATGAATGCGTTTACAGGACTGATGGGACCAAGGTGAGTAGCTAGCTTCTCCGTGTCCTTATCTGTGCAGATCACATGGCAAGAAAAGTTTGCTCCCACATTGGCGCTGTTGTTCCAGGTATGCACAATTAGGACACAATCCTTCGACTCCGACTGGTTAGAGGTACAATTTTTGGGAGTAGTAATATGAGTAATGGTGGCAGTCGAAATTGGCCTAATTTCATACACCTCAAGCGCACTCGTTTCGAACTTAATCTCAACAGAGTGATTTCCATTAAATTTATATTCAATGAACTGCGTGTGTGCAGCTGTGTTTTTGTTGTAAAATACTTTATTATCTAAATCGTTGACATCGATTTTTTTATGATTATTGTTAATCTTATCTTTCAAATGGTCAGGCAAAGTGGATGGTTTGTATATTCTCGTCTGTGGTTCTGATGCATATACATTTTTAATTTTATATTTTGAAGCTCCATCTGAATCCATAGCTGCTTTGTGCGCATCATAATATCTTTGAAGGTTTACAGAAATGCAATGCCCGGGGGCCACGGCACAGAAGTTCCCATTAGCTGCTCTCCATTTCGTTAGAGACACCCCAAACTTATCACATGTTTTGCCACTCAAATCGAAAAGATACTTAGGCATCATGAGAGCTTTTCTCAAGCAGGGATGAATTACGTTACATAATCCATGATAATCGCATCCCTTCAAAAGAGGGGAATTTTCTTCTAGGCCACAATTCCTAGTAACATCGCTAGCTAAAACGTCTACGTCGTTTACAGGGGAAGAAGGAATGAGAATATAATCATTTGATAAATTAACTAACGTGTTTTTTCCATGAAATTCACTCCTGAGAAGTATCCACAAATCGAAATAATCATCCCTAATTTCAGTTATCGAGTCATTCAGTTCATATTTCTTTTCCTTTGTCACCAAATCGTACGTGTTATTTAGGACACTGCTTACGTCATCATATGCATATTCCTGCACAGTTATATCAACTTGGGTATTAAATATTGGCGGATAATCTATATCATACACAGCATAGGAAGAGAAGTCCATGATGGCACAGTGTCTACTGTAAACGGTGGCCGATTCAGAGAAGAACATGTTGAAATAAATGCACTTTAATTTCGACCTCTTTATATCCTTATTATCCCTGAACAAGTTGTACGATTGGCATGTGCATGATTCCCCCTTTATGTATTCAAGAAAATGAGGTGGGAAATCCCCATCTGGGCTGTTTATTTCTTCTATCTTCCGCACGTTGCATGTCGAGGTGTACTTCTTAATCTCCCTCTCTGAGTATCTATTAAACTTTTGGTGATTAAACACGTCCACTACTTCTGTATATTTGAAGGGGATGTCTTTCATATATTTCAGGTAATACAAAATGGTGACGTAATCTCTTCGAATGGTTAAGAAGTATCCTTTTCCATCAGGCCTTAGTACTTTCAGTCGTAATACCTACGAGGGGAATGGGGGGATGGAAACCAGGGGATAACACACACGTAGGAGCTTCTCCTGTGTACTCTTATTCTGTGCGTTCTTCTCCTCTGCACTCTTCTTACACTCACCGAGTTGTTCGAAACGTCTAACTCCCCAAACGCAACCATTCTACACGTGGAGTCGTCGGACGAAGATGTGCACACTTTCTTTTTACCAAAGGAGTGTGCCACCTGGATGAAGGACGCGCTCCTGCTTCCGTCCTTCCGTTTGTTCCTTCCAAAAATTGCGCAGCACAGGAGGAAGAGGAAAGATCGCAGTTTCCATGTCCGTTTCATTTTGGGCGAGTGCTCCTTCTTCTACTTCTTCATTTAGTTTTACGTCCTGTCATGAGGGGGGAGGCGGAGGGAGATCAACTGTCCGCGCGTGCGCATGTGGATATGTGTGTCTGTATGTATGCCTCAACGATCGCACAGAAGGGAGACATCTCCGTGCCCTCACCTCATGACCTTCATACACGCACGATTCGTCCGTTTATGCCTTTTCCCCCAATCCTAGCATAATATAGCGCTGCGTGAGAGCGTCGATTGGTGGGCATTATTTCCAACTATTCATCAGAATTTTTTTTTTACAAAGATTTTTCCTTTTCTTTGCCTCATTTCTGGCATAATCCTTCCCACTAAATTGGCACTATCGCGTTGTCTCCTTTTCGCATTTTCTCCAACGAGGGGATTCTTCCCTCTGCACATCTACGCGCAGCATAAAAATGCCTCACCCCAGGTCCAATTTCTGCACTTTTTTTTTTTTCTTGAAAATCGGTACACAATAAAATTAGTAATAGACACGATGTGGTGATGCAAAATGGTGACTATTGGGAAGGCTGAAGATGCTTCTTTTATTATCAGTATAGTTTTGCCGTGGAAGGGTTCAGGGAACAACTTCGAGGTACAGTTTTAGGGTTTCATCCTCTATATCTTAGGCTCCCCGTTTACGTTCTAGGCCTTCAAAAGACAGGGTCCTGGTTCCATTGCGTACGCCTCAGGGTCTAAATTTTGGGCGCAGGCCCGGTGAGTCCTGTTTAGGCTTCAGGGGTCAGGATTGACGTCTGTTGTTTTCTCTCTCAGTCTCGGTACCCCTCTCCTAAGTCTTATTTCCCCTCATTAGGCTCAGGTTCAGGCATTACGTGTGACTGCCTTTTGTCTCTGAGACCAAGACTGTGGCAATCGTCTCGCACTCTATGAGGTGTTCTTATTTGAAGGTCACTGCCTATATTTTGTCGAAGGCTTGTGCGCCTTCATGAGTGTGCACATAATGGCAGTACGAATTATTTCAATGTATGATTGCGCACAAACCCATATCTTGCCACACGCAGGTGTATCTTAATAGGGGCGACCCAACACAAAAATTACTATCCGTATTTTAGGCTGCACACAAGATTCTTCTTATGTGAATGCCGCGTAATTTAGGGATTATGTTGGTGTCATTTCAGAAATGGAACGAGGATGAACAATAATAATGTGTGTTAGGAACTGTTATGTTAAGAGCATGGTCTCTCCACGATTGCATGTGGGTGAAATCCTGGGATAACACGCACCAGCATCTTATGGACAACACCAATATGCTTCAGGGATGACTCTGTGTACTGCATGCATGTTTTGTTATTGTTATTATGCAATCTTCTTACGAATTTGGGTTTTTTTATCTGAAGAGCATTACTGCTTTAAGAGAATTGATCATCATGAAGCAGTGCTATATGAGGAGCCTAATTCTACAGTCTTCTTCTTTGTCTTTTCTGTATCCTTATATGAAACCATTGCGGCTCACGCCTTCATCATATGAAATCGTTATTGGGTGTAGTCCGTGTATCACCCTGGGAAACCACTATATAGCCTCTACAGATACCTGAATCATACTGGGGTAGATGAACAGGGAGGATTCTCTGAAGGTTTACCTGCACGCACTATGCGAATTTCCTCAAAGTCGTATATCCAGAGGCTTCAAATTTTAACGTCCCCTGTGCTATTGACTGAACAACAGCACTCTGTGAGGAATAGTGGCCTGCGCAGATCCATATTATCTGGGGAGTTCTCCTCACTGTGAGTTACAATCGTGTCAAGAGTACCCAGGTCCGTAGGATAATGCTATTAGTAGTATATCACTGGCCCGGAAGGTACAAGGTTTACCGTCTATGATTCTGGGTTTAGGCATTACGTCTGATGTATCCGTTGAGACGTTGCGCGCTTGCAAGAGTGGGCTGCTGCATATTATTGAATAACCTGACGGGGAACCAGAAAAAAATTACAAGCAACCTAAGTGAGGATGCTTGTAAATATGACATGAATATATCTGCAGATGAATGAATGAAATTTCACTTCTGTTTAGAGAAAAAGAGAATTGCGCATTTGTAGGAACATACAGAAAAATATTTGTAAGGGTCTCAAGGACGAAGAAAGAGAATAAGAAAAGAACACATCCCCCTACAATTTGAACGTGACCCATATCTCTCTCGACTTGTCCTGATGCTAATAATTATAGAAGTAGAGGGCAGAAATATTCAGTATCTTCACCTTGAAGGTAGAGGAGAAAGATATATATAACATATATACTTATCTGCGATTTGGATTAAGTATGAAATGAGGGAGAAATTTCTTCTTCCTATTGGCCAGAGGGTACAGTGAAAACAAAATGAACGGTTTCTTTCTTCTATCTAAACTATCCATGAGATGTCTTCTACTTACTACTTCTGTTCTGTCAGCAAGTTTTTTTTTTATCCAAGATCAGAACGAGTAATGAGTACCACCTGTACTGTATCTGCATGATGAATGCTCAGCCTCATTGCCAGTAGGGAACATAATTAGAGGAGGATTTCTGTATAGCCTCATGAGACTTTTTACTCTTGCACAAATATAAAAATCCTCCATTCGTAACACATAGATTCTTTGGGGGGGAAAGATCTTTTTACCCTCCGAGCAGAATTCTATTATAAGAGTAAAGGCAAGATTAGTTTGTTGCGACACACTAGAGAGGGCAGCGTCTCTGAGGCGTTAAGTGCTCATCCTAGTCGGTAGCTGTGTTAATCTATATTCGCAAACCTAGGAGCACTCAGAGAGAAAGAAATAAATATTCCACCTTCACAGAAATGATAAGTGCAGTTATTCAGGTGAAGGAAATATTGTGGAACAGTTGCAAAAGGGCGCACATAATAAAAAACCTGCTCTATCTTTACCCTCCATGAAGCAATCAGAGTTCGGTGATTATTAAAAGTACAACTCCGTAGGAATCTAATTCCAACTGTATCTCCCATCCTAGAAAAAAGAATCCCCCTCCTTAATTATCACTACTGAATTAAGTATATGCTTACACCTCCTTTGGGGGAACTCCCCCGACGTCGTATTAATTCGCATTTTTCCTCTCTTCTGTTCATTCTTGTTAATTAGTGCATTTCCTTCCTCATCTTATGACCAACTGAATTTTTTTTTATGCTCTTCTTGTGTAATGTGTCTGCTTGTCCTTATAATTTATTCTTTTTTACACACGTCAACTGCTCAGTTTTGTAGTCATGCTTTTAAAACATTTATGCAGAGGAAAACATTTAAGTGATATTTGGCGAAATAGACTTTGGGCAAATCAATAAACGTCATTTGTTGCTTCCCATTGTGCTTCCCTCTTTTTCATTTTACGTACACGTAGTTTTCTTCGTTTTTCCTGTGCATAAAGTGGTTGAGATTGAATTGTGGGATGAAGACTTATGTTTCAGGGTAACTCTACCTGAGCGGGCACAAGGACGGATTTCATTTTTTAATAACCATGGGTTACTATCAGGAAGCGGTGGATGACAAATGAAGGACGCCATGGACATCATAATGCTAATTCGTGGAATTGAATCTGACGCAGAACCAAGCCTCTTGAGACCCGGTATATACCTAACAAGCGACGATAACGTTATAGTGAAGGACAAGAATGATTACTGCGTCTATGGAGGTAGCTGAAAAGAATAATTTAAGCAGCAGGAATATTTCGCATTCGGATTGGTTGCACATGAGCGGGGTGAAACCGATAGCTTCGATAAACTCAGCTACAGTGTAGAAGAGTTTGACGATTTCACCAACGATGTAATGTATTTTATTAGGAACATTCAGTATCGTATAAATGGTTTCTATTTCGATGAGGAGGGTGGTGGTCGCAGTTTGCTATTTCGGGATAACAAAATATGTGAGAGGAGAACTCTTCCCCCTTGCGTCGTCGATTTATCTCTGGTGGTGGAGTACCGTTTTAACGATGCTAGAAATATTAGGGAAGTTCCAAATGAAGAATACAGGACTAAACATAAACGGGTGCATCTCCATGTGTCGAATGATAATTTTTGAGAAGTTACCATCCAGAAATTCGTTTTCATTTCAGCGCATTTGTTTCCCCTAGTGGACGTCCTTTGCTGAATGGTCTCAAACAATAAGACGGATTACCAAGTGACCGTATAAAATGCATTGGTGTGTTAAGTATTTTATTAAGATAAAATTCAATATAAGGATGCAATCACGTATATATTTAGATATGAACTTCTGAAAGCAATCGACAACTTAGACAAGAACATAAGACACCTACCTAAAGATTTCCCTCTGTATTCATTATTCATTCTAAGAGGAACATCTTGTGTTACTATGGCGGAGCTGTTTCGTTCTGCAGTGGACGCAGTGTGAACACTAAAAAAATGCACGCAGTGGAGGATATGGAGTGTACTGTCATTGGTGAGGCCTGGAATGAGAAGGTTTCGAAGAACATCGTCGATTGGATTATGGGTCTCTCAGAAATGAGAAGCGCGTCCAAGGAGAGCAACGCATCTAAGGCGAGCAAGGCGTATGCGATGGTTACCATAGGAGATATTTCTCTCTGAGGAAATAAATCCACGTATTTTTTGTTTGAGCAAATATGCATAGATTTGTTACTTACACAAGGGTATCCATAATGACGAGAATGTGTGCCTAATCCGGGAGTAGTATTATGTATATCGCGTTTGTTTTTTTATTTTTTCTCTGTGTTGATTAGTGTTGATCATGATATTGTGTATTGTGTATTCTTTCTTTTTTTATGCTCATTTTAAGCTATTCCCTGTATGGATTATAAAGGATAGTCTCCCCATTACCACATTTATTTTTTTAAGATGTGCTTTGCGGTTTCTTTTTCCTAAAACTTTAACCATCACGTAAAAATCAGAAATACTAAGAAAGGGGAAGGAGTCCATTTGAAAATGGGAGGGAGAAGTGGCAACAGGGTCACAGTAACACTTCTGCTGTCTGGCTCATTGTTTTTATGCTTTCCAGTTAACATTTCGTGGATAACGGGGAAGACTTCGGAGGAGTTGACAGTTAAGTGTGGTGTCTCATGTGCACATCCTTCCTTTTTATTTTTATAGCAATGCGTGGATGTTACACAGGGTGTTATACCAGCACTGCATAGTGCTGAATCTGGGACGCATCCGAAATATGTAAAGGAAACACTAAAGGAGGGACACCTAGTGGGAGTGATGCATTGTCAGTTCTAAACGTTAATTACCATTTGATGATACCATTATTGTTCATTGGAGTGGACCTCATGGAGCATAGCATTGGCAGTGCCCCTACGTTGTAGTACTCGTGGTTTTATTGGCCACCACAAGGAGATGGAATTGCATTTGTTGTTTCTACAATGAGACATCTTGTCTTTTGCACCTGGTTGGGGCGCCTATTACATTTCCATAAGTCGGATAACGTATGTACGCAGAGGGGGTTCTCATTTAAAGGGTTTCACCTCCATTTTTAGATCCATCTAAGTATTGCGTCCCCATATAGCAGTCGCTCCAATAACAGAGGCGAATTCAACAAAGAGAGGTTGTTCATGATCTGCTCGTAGTTGAAGCAAATTCTTCTTTCCATAATGATAAAATTGGCATCCCCGCTTAAAATAGGAGTGATGGGTTGTAACAGCATAGAGTAGCCATTCGATGCAAGTATGAGAAAAGTGTCATATCATTTTTAGAACATAACTATATTCGTATCTGTGCAGGATTTATTTGGCTGGAGAGGAAATAGTACAGGACATGGTCAATGTCTGTCCAGTCCTGTCGAATTCTTTTTAATGCTTGCTGAAGGATTAAAGATTTTATTTTGCTTTCCAGATGGGCTGTACGTTTAAATAGGGGGAGAAAATGCTTCCCTGAACTGAAACGTACATCTTTGAGGAATGTAATTACATCCCTACTGTGATATAACCTTTTAAGAGTGACTGATAAAAGCAACCTTCCTGAATTCCTCCCCGCAAACAAAAGTACGAATGGACTCAGATACTTTTGCACCCAAATTATATTTAAAGGATAGTCCCATTTGGCGTATAGTATGAATAAATATTACATTAAAAGGAGAAAATGTATCCAAATGGTTAGTGCCACTGCTCCGTTCAGTAAAAAAAAAAAGCACCTTGTAAATGCGTCGCAGTTATAATTTATACTTATTCGAAGGATCATAGGGCGGATAAAAATCGACGTAGCGCAGAATGTTGCAAGAATGACCCTCGTGAAATGCCTCCTTATTGTTAACCTGGTTAAGCAGCACCCTAGTGAAACGCCTGGTTTTGAGTCGAACCTATGACCCAAGAACGCGACTGTGTGATGTGGACGGAGCATAACAGTTGTCGAATATTTTGTACGCGTCCGTTGGGTATACTCCCCCACCTAAATTGCGTGCATTTTTCTTTCTGTTTAATAAACTGTAAGTGGGGCAAAGGCTAAAGTGGGGAAAAATAATGGGAAATACATTAAAGTTAAGCAATAAATCGTAATGCTGTTGAAGGAAAAAGCACAATGAAAATCTGTTTGCAACAAGCTGCTTGGCGCGCATGCTGCAGCGCGGCTACACGTGTAGGTACTAGTGAATATCCCCATGCCTCTATGTATTAGAGGAATTGGTAAAAACAGAGGAATATGCCTTATCACGTGTTAATTATAGGTGTTGGTAAGCAGGTGTGTGGGCACATAAGTGCACTCGAACACGTCCACGCCGCCTGAAGGAGCGACAGAATCGACTTGCTGATCCTATGCTAAACGGCTCGAGGATATCAATCGCATCCGAAGCGCCTTTATCAATTGGGCTTATGCCAGAACATGTTTTTCATCCTGTTCCCGCTGCTCGTGATGTTTGCGGGGATACTTGGGGAAGACTTCCGGAGCGTTTCTGTTGACGAAGCATGGAGGGAGCTGCGCCTGGAAAAGGTACTCATCTGCCGCTCTTTATCTCACGAAACAGCTGCTTTTATGCCCACTTGTGTCTCATCCCCTTTGGGGGCTGCCTTATCTCTCCTTTTTCAAGAGGCATCTTTAAGAGTTTTCCTTCACCCCTATCGCGGTGATGACATGCAGTTTGGAGGCGCGCGCAGGGTGGTGGCAGTTTGTTCATAGAGGTGGTCCGTGATGGTCAACGGAGGTGTTATCTGATTTTAGCGGCTATCTGGTTAAGAGGCGACCTGCCAGGCGCCAAAACAGAAGAGAAAAATCACGCGACATAGTTGATGTGATTTTCATTCGGAACGTAGTTAAAGAAGAGGTAGTTCACCCCCTCGTCCAAAATGATGAAGGCGTCTATGGGGATGAATCTTCCATTGTAGGAAAAGAATTGCTGAGTAGCCCTAATTTCTAAAATGACCTCTAACAAGCTCTGCAAAAAGGCAATATTGAAAACGTTGACAGTGGTCCTGATTATAATGTTGGTCATGGATGGATTATCATTGTAAATGATTAAAGTGTATTCCTTCATTTCATTTAAATGTTCACTTAATTTGGGACTCAATTCTGAATGGTGTTGCACAATGTTATTGCCCATTTTTCGGTACTCATAATACATGTATTTATCTATAGCGCTTCTGGAATATTTTGTGATGAATTCATTTTGGGATATCTTTAATTGGTAATTGTCTACATCGCTTAAAGAAGGCTTGTACAAGATGAATCCGTATGGTGTCAACCAGGATTCATGCAGCCTTCTTTCTGTTAACACATCTTCCATGTAAATGTATAGCGATTCATAAATCTCCTTTTCGTTAAATATGATGTTGTTGTATGGCTCGCTATTGAGGATTATGTCCTTTTTGGAAGAAAAAAAGTTCGAAGTAGAAATTATGGATAACTCCTTTGCATATTTGTTCTTCTTCGAATATTGTTCATGTGAAAACAAAATGTGTCTTTCCATAAAGTTGTGAATGTTTGCTTCGTTTTCTATGTACTTGTCAATTCTCTTATTTTGCTTCATTTCCTCTATCTGGAAAATTCCACAGAGATGTTCCACGTACATAATTAGTGAAATTTTCTGTAATAAGAATATGAAGTAATCCATATTCACTTTGTATTTATCCATCAAATTGGAGGAGAAGTAAAGAACAACGCTGTCTTCGTCTAGATGTTCCTGGAATATTATTTCTTCGTTGTAATTAATTTCCTTCAACAAGTTGTCTATGTAGGTCACATTCTTGCAATACTCCCCCGTTTTCCATACATGTACATTTTTAAAAAAATAAATTAAATACTTGGCGCTGATTGCTTTTTTCTTCTTAGACGAGGAGGTTTTTTCCATTTTGATCTGAAGTTTGAGAGATTCCACAGAATGTTCGTCGCTCTCGTTTACGTTGTTCCCATTTACCTTCTTCTCATTTACGTTGTTCTCGCTTTCCGCTTGTTCTGCCCCATGGGTCGCACCTGCTCCGTCACCCTTGTGCTTGTCATCCTTCTCGGAATCCTTTGCAACTGTTGTGGGCACCTTCTTCACACTCGCTTCCTTCTCCAAGAAGGCGCTCTTCAAACTCACGCCGTCATTTTCGTCCATTTTATTTTCGAACAATTTCTTCCCCTCATGATCAAAAAGGTTCGTGTGGCGCTTTTTCTCGTTGTAAAAGTCTTCAGGGTTGGGAGGGCTTTTCAATGGAATCCAGTCGCTGTTTCCCATGATTTTCTGCTTCATCAGGTCTCCATCATCCCCGCTGTTTCCATCACTACCTCCATCTATGCCATCATTTTTGTTTTCCCCTTTGGAGTGCTTCTCGACAGATTCCAGCTTGGGCCCCACGAAGTTGCCCAACTTGTGGCTTCGCTTATTCGTCGTGTCTTCCTCTTTCATTCTGGAAGAATTAACCGACTCCTGAATTTCCAAATCGTGGTCGTCTTTGCCTAGGTTGCTGTACGTGGGGAAAAACTGGTTTCCTATTCGGTAGGAATTTATGTAAAATATTTTCGACTTGACTTCGTCAATGAGAACGTTCTTAACATCCTGGATGCTTTTCAGGTTCACTGGGGAGGCGTTGTAGTAGATGTTCAGTGTGTCTACGTCCGGGTATTTAAGCTCGTCCGCAACGTCCACACCTCCGTGGCTGTTTCCGTGGCTGCTTACACCATTGCCGTCAACTCCCTTTCCTCCAGATCCGCTGGAGCGGCTAGGTCCGCTTTTCCGGCTGGCACCACTTACAGGCACAGTGGCCGATGCGCTGGACGCCTTCAAGGGGGGGAAGTACCTCTTGTTGTGGTAGTAAGCCGTCGTGTGAAGCTCCTTACTCTCCAAATTCTTCACAGACGTATCTGAGGATATTTTTCCATTCTTTTTAATATAATTCAATTTCTCCTCCAGAAGCATTAACTGCTCCAGCAGATAATAGGGAGTGAACTTTTCCAAGTATTCAGAGTGGTTCGACTGGGTAAAGTATCCCCTCATTTTGGATTTGTATTGCTTACAGTAGCTGATAACATTATTGGTGTAGGATTTACAAGGGCAAGTAAGAGGTATGGTTTCTTTATTTATGTTTAGCAAAGCTAGGAAGCTTTCAAATTTTACGCCATTAAATTCGTAATCTGAATTAGTCGTGACAGTCATTCCATTCTTACGGAAGTGGAAAGACATCTTCTCATACAATAACATGTCATTATTTACTAGCTCCAACACATCTGTGATCCCCATGCAGTACGATGCACACACAGATTCTGTGAACTTCTGAATAAAAATAATCGTTTCGGTTATATTAAACACCTTTAAGGCTTCCATCACTTTTAAGAGATCTTTGAAATTTTTTTTTACTGAATATTCTCTAAAATCGAAGAAATTTAAGAATCCATTTGTTCCATTTTGTCCTACTTTAATGTACATGGTGTCTTTGACATTTTCTTTTGTCTTTTCGTCCAGGATGTCTCTCTTTGTTTTCATTTTTCTGCTCTTCATTTCTTTTGTCTTGTATATGGGTCTGTTTTTGCTTCTTTCCCCAAGAATATTTTTGTCCTCCTTCAGTTCACTGTTTTTCCTTTCGCTCGGCTGTAGGTAGCCTGCCAGTTCTAGAAGCGCGTTTACGAAGATGTTTGCAGCGCTTTGTTTTGTGTTCTTCTTCACCGTGCCGGTTTCGGCATCCACATCTTCTTCGTCTGTCACTTCCTCTTCTTCCTCCTCCTTATGGCCTTTTCCTCCTTTCAGGTGCCCCCCCTTCCCACTCGGTTGCACCGTCTTTCCGGTTGGCATGTTCCTTCCCAGCTTGAACATATAATACGGGTTGTAATACGTATAAGCAAAATCCATGCCCTTTTTTTCCTTTTCCTCTGATGCCTTGTCAGTTGTTTCTTCATCGTCCACGCTTTCCCCATGAATTTTTTTATTCTTATGGCCATATTTGGACTTCTTGTTTGGTCCATGCCCTTGGTGAAGTAGCTCATTCTGCAGCTGGTCGTGTCTATCTGGGTCTTCATCATCGTCGCCATCGTAATCATCGTTATCATCGTCGTCCTCATCCCCATTGCTGTCTCCCTTTATTTGATATTTTCCTGCCCTTTTTTCCCCCCACAGTATATTCTTACTTCCCTGTTTGCCTGAGTTCTTTTTAATCTTTTCGGAGATCCCCTTCATTCCGCTTTTGTACACATTGTATGACCCTTCCTCCTGTGCCTCCACCTGCATGCCCCCTTTTACATGTGGTGACATAAGATCCTTCTCATCGACATAGTAAATTTTGTTATCATTGTGCTTCTTTGGGTAGCTCTTATCACCTGAATAGACCTCGGCGTATTCGTAGTTGTCCTTAGGAAAGGGCAATAAGTGTGCACCGTATGGAGTCTTGATGTAATTTACGTAGTTCGTGTAGAAGTTCACTTTAAATTCTCCAGTGGAGTTGTTATTTAGTTTTATGTTTTTCATGGATAGTAAGTTTTTGAGCTTTTTCCCTAGGTATTTCATTTTCTTTTTGTCTTCCTCATCGTCATGGTCGTGTTCGTCGTATTCGTAGTGCTCATCGTCAGAGTCATGATAGTCCTGATCCTCCTGCGCATTGTATTCTTCCCCATTTTCGTAATCCATATTCTCCGAGTATTTTTCATTGCCATCGTAGTGGTAGTCATGAGCATTTTCATGCATCACCCCGTATTTTTGGCTTTGATCATACTTGACGGGTCCTTTAAACTTCTGGGCGTCGTAATGGGCGTAGTTCTCAGCGGGGTCGTCCTCCGGCTGAGGGTCGCTCTCTTTTGTGGTGTCTACCGTCTGCTCAGAATCGCTCTCTTGTGGGTGGTCCACTTTCTTGTGAGGGTGACTTTCATGTGTGGTGTCTACCTTCTGCTCAGAATAGCTCTCTTGTGGGTGGTCCACTTTCTTGTGAGGGTGACTTTCATGTGTGGTGTCTACCTTCTGCTCAGAATAGCTCTCTTGTGGGTGGTCCACTTTCTTGTGAGGGTGAGTTTCATGTGTGGTGTCTACCGTCGGCTCAGAATCGCTCTCTTGTGGGGGGTCGACCTTCTCGTGGGTTCCCTCCCCTTCCGTGGGGTCATCCTTCTGTTCAGCCTGTACCTCCTTCATCCCTACCACCCCATCCATCCCCTGCACCACCGTTTCATGATATTTTGGATGCACCAAATTACTATGTACGATTAAATTAATCAAATTGAATCCCTTCTCGTAAACATTGCCAAAATGTTTCCAGAGGTCTTCTTTGCTGAGGGCCTCTACATCCACATACACCTCATTTAAAACCCCAGAGAGGTGTAACACTCTTTTGTCCTTATCACTGAAAGTTACGTAAATGCCATAAAATTTAAAAAAGTGATCCAAAAATTTGTCAAACTTGTCGGTATCTGTGGGGTGTAAGGTCCTATTGTTTTTGTTTTCCAATGCACCCTCTATGTGGTTTCCTTTTTTATTTTCCGTATTATCGAAAAAGCTGTTTTTTAGCAAGGCTAGCAAGCTAGCCCTTTTGTTTTCGTCGTCATCGTTTGTTAATGCATTTTGCCCGGAGAAAAGGAAAAAAGAGAATAAAATGGAGAGTAAAAAAAAGGAAGTTACTCGTGGCATGGTTACTATTCGTCTGGAAATGAAAGTTTGAAATGTACAGATGAAAAGGCGCAACGAAGGCGCAAAGGGGAGAGGGTGTAAAGACGTAAATATTGTTAACTTATTTGCAGCTATTTTTCCCCTTTTTTGTGCCCATTATGGGTTTGTACTTTCGGAGAAATGGTTAGCTCAGCTATGTTTGGTTTATTTTGGTGTATTTCGCTGTTTAGCCTTTCACTTAGAACATTTCGCAAATGTATTTCCCTCCTTTCACCTTCGATTCCACTTTATTGGAACGAGAATTTGCAAAACTGCGCGTATTCCTCGAAAAGAAAAATTCACCTGGAAAAAGTTCACCTTAAAAATGTTCACCTTTTGACATTAGACTACGGAGAAAGAATTACTTTTAGATTTTTATTCGCAGGAAATTGGAGAAAAAAAAAAATAAAATAATAAAATACAGTGTGCAGATCCGAGATAAGGATTTTTTTTTTTTCGTCTGTTGATCTGAGATCTGATCTGTAATTTGATCTGCCCCTTAGACCGCCATTTGATCTGCGTTCATTTGTGCCCTTTCTTTTGCCATGGTTCCGCCCTTGATAGGCAAGTGTGTCAGATCACTTGCTAACCATTGGAAAGGGAGTGAACTCCGAAAAAGAGGATTTGTTCATCTCGCTTTGGTTGGGCGAACCGGCAAGTTGAATGGAAAAAGAATTAGCAAAATGAAGGTGAACAGGTGAAACAAAATGAAATAACCCGGAGGTATCAATTTCTTACACACGAGATAAAGCTTAATTTCCAAATACCATGGCGCGCAAAGAGCTAAACTGCATACACTAATTGGGCGTACTAATTTCTCTCACTTTTATTTCCTTTCATTTCATGGGAGACGTTTAAATAGGCCGGGTAACGTATTCCATTTTTCGGTTTCTGTTTTCTTTACCTTTTTGCTTGTCACAATTAGCCGTTTTTTCGTTAATTTGAAGAAGGGTGTAATAAACCGTTCCAGTTCGTTTCAACTTTTTTTTTTTTTTACACATTAAACGCGAAGTGAAAACGAATTAATTTTTCAGAGTGGCAAAGACGTACCAGTCGGGCCAAAGTGGGAGGCACAAAAAAACGATTGGCCATCCCAACGGATGTACATTTTTTTTTTTTAAAGAGTTAATATTTGGGGAAAGCATACCATGCTAAATGAGTTGCCGCATGAGTAGCCAAAAATATGATCCACGAAAAAAAGAGGCCATTTTAACTGTTCCAAGTTTATCAAATTGGAAGTAAATTAAGGTATATTTTTGGCGAAAATTCCTTTCTGTTGTGATAAGGATGTCCCTCCTGGGGTGGAACGCCCAAAACGAGGTTGCTAGGTTTTTTTTTTGATCAAGAGAAAGTTAAAGAAAAATTAAAGCGAACTGGCAAAACATTGTTTCTACACTCGCGTAAATGTACAACAATGCTCGTAAGTATCTGTTGCCTTACATTTGCAGAGAAAAGGGGCTACCACCACTTCACCATGAAACATGGTTCAGGGTGTTAGTCCACCTCCAACAACTGTCAACAGTATAATGTAGTTTTTAAGCATTGTTGAGTTTGTTTTGCAGGCTGCGTGTTTTTTTTTTTTTTTTTTTCTTGTCTCCACATTTTAACATTTTAAAAGGAATACACAGGACTGCCTCTTTCCAGTTAGGACTTCCTCCATCACAGCAACAAACTACACTTTTTTCCTTAAAGGTGGTGTGACGAATTGTTCACCTTTTGGGTCAATGAAAAGGTAACACGATGTATATACATTTATTTACACACTATTTTGTGTGCGCATATTTGCGACTTCGTGAACTGTCCTGAACAGTTTGTGTGCAAAAGGTGAAAAGTATGTCCTAAATATTTTTTGCTCCTTCCCCAAAGATTTATTACCGTTTTTACGCCATTCAGTTTTCTTTCCCATTCCATGTTTTTCCTTTTTCCGTTTTCTATGCTCACTTTTTAACGTCTCGCAAAGGGTAAAATGGGTCTGATCAACTTTGCCTTCCCTAACCCACGGGCGGAAATTCGGCGTGCAGTTCAGCGTGCAATTTATTCCAAGGAGAAATTAAAAAAAAAAAAACGCCATAATAACTTCACACAGAGAGGTAGCGCAATACAGAATTAGAAAGAACTGATCATTTTGACACAAAGTCAGTGCTTCCTTTTGCCACAATATGTTACACGGGTTATTCCCACTTTTACCCTTCCTATAAGGTCATATTCGTTGGTGCCAACTGGTATGCAACTTTTTTGGATTTACGCCTCGTCATTCCAATGAGATACGCGTAATAAAAGTATATGCCCCTTATTTCTTCTCCGCTTTTTTTTCTATCATACTATGACAAGGGTTTGCCTGGTAACTGGGGGCACTGGTTTGCTAGGAAATAGTTTACGGGAAGTAATAAAAAAGGAAGCCCCTCAGTTTGTAGAAAATGAAAATGAGATAATTGTAAATTCGGGGGATAACAACGTAATTAAGAAATATATTTTTTTAAGTTCCAAAATGTGTGATTTAAAAGATTTTGATGAAGCGCAACAATTTTTCGAAAAAAACGAAATTACGGACATCGTGCATTTTGCGGCATGTGTAGGTGGTCTGTACGCGAATAAAAACAACAACCTGCAGTTTTTGGAGGACAATTTGGAGATTAATTTAAACGTGGTTAAGCTCTGCCACAGGCATTTGGTACGTCGGTGGAAAAGGAAAAAACTCACATGAAAGTGTGCTCCTGCGGCTGTATGTACCTATGTATATATGCACACGGAATGAAGCAAACCGCTACGTGCTCAAGTGTGGAGTCCCCCGAATACGTGGAATTTGGCAGATATTCCTTAAAGAGCTCGCCTTAAATGGGGGAAAATATATGTGCACAAAACCGTTGTCAGTTTAGGCAAAAATATAAAGACTTGGTGAAAAACCAGAACAACGAACTCCGCGTGTAAGCTTCGTCTCTTGAGCAAAATAAAAAAATAACTCTCCTCTTTTTCATTCCAATGTTATAGATTACAAGAGGAATATTCACTCTATCCACTTGTGTCTTCCCAGAGAAGTGCACTTTGCCTTTAACTGAAGAAGACATACATGAGGGAAGGTGCCACCTGAGCAATGAAGGATACAGCACGTCAAAAAGAGTTCTGGAAGTGTTGGTCAGATTTTACAGAGAAAAATACAACTACCAGTGGATTTGCATAATACCTACAAATATATACGGAAAATACGACAACTTCAACTTAGCCTCTGCGCACGTAGTGCCTTCTATTATTCATAAGATGTATTTGGCAAAAGGTAGTTCAAAACTGTTGCTGTTTTTAAGGGATGGAGGAGGGAGGGACGTTTCTGTCTTGAGAAACGGGACTTAAAAATGGTTACATGTGTATGTGTTGAGATATACCGCACACATATGTGTGTTTCTTTTTTTTTTCTCCCTCAGTGAACAACACCGACGTGCGGCTCATGGGCGATGGGACAGCTGTCCGCCAATTTATTTACAACAAAGACATAGCCACCATTTTGCTCTACATCCTCAATACATATTATTGCAAGCATTTCACCATAGTTAAGGATGAAATTTGTAGCATTATATTCTCCACTAATTTGCCTTCAAACGGTATGTACATAAATGTGTGCTCAAAAATATGCATGTACATTTTTGAATAAAATTTTCCCACAACAGTTTTGCTCCGTTCGTCACTTGGACAGAATTAACCGTTAAGGAGTTGGCGGAGAAAATTAAGAATTTCCTAAAATTCGACAAAGAAGTATTGGTTCGTCCGTAAAAAAAAAAAAAAACAAAAAAGAAATATATATATATATCAAAAAAGAAGACTGCTTAAAATGCACTAAATGAACAAAATCTGAACCTCCTTTTCCTTAGTTCGACGAAACAGCGGATAACGGAATTCATCGGAAGGTTTCAACATAACAACGAATGCGATATTCCAGAAAAAAGGCAGTTTTTCTGCCATAGGAGTTTACCTCCAGGGTGAAAATATATTTTTTTTTTTTTTTAGACATCAAGCAACGACAAGTTAATGAAAATTTTGGATAACTCTTTCGCGTTTACTGACATGGACAAGGGTTAAATAAAGATGCAAAAAAATTAAGTAAAAATAAAATAAATACTCTACAACGCTGCTCAGTTTGTAATCGAAGCGAACTGAAACAGCGCGTTATGAGCAGCCCCCTTCCTTAGCATATGTGACGCATTTAACTGGCAATCTGACATTGCAGGTTTGGAAGAAACGATCGATTGGTTCATTGGCGCGTACGAGAGCGTAAAAAGGTGACATTTCGGCGATGGCAAGTTTGCACTTGCGCCTTTAACACACATCGTGTGTTATTTTCTTAAACCGTTTTAGTCAGTTTATCCACCTTCATTGCAATTATTTGACAACTAAAGAATTCTTGTAGAGTGCCAAAAAAAAAACTGAGTGCGAGAGGCCTTCCATCCCACGCGCATTTGTACATTCCACAAATTATTTGGGAGGGGAAAAAAAAAATAACCATACACATAAAAATGCATACACACCATCTTAACCGTTCCGTAAATGGAGCATACGACACTGTGCTAAGAATTTGGAAAAAAAAAAGATGCTGCTTTGAAGGATTCGAAAGCACAAATCAATTTAACAGGGGAGTGACACATATGGCCTGCATACGAGCACGATGTTTATACTATGTGTACCACATATATCTTTTGGGACGACCTGAACCTATGCTATGCTCCACGTTCGAGGTTTAACCCGGTGATGCGTAAGAAAGGGAAACTTTTCTTCACTTTTCATTTTACGAGCGAATTGCGAAGCGCAGACGGCGATGAAGAAGCTATTTTTTATTTTCCTTTCCCGAAGGCAATTCCCGATTAAACAAATTTTATACATATTTACAAATTCACGAATGTGTTTTTTTTTTCAAAGTTGGACCCTCTAACATTTTACATTTTTTGCTGTTACGCGTAGAGGATACTTTTCCACTTGGGGGGTTTCACTACCTTTAA